ATTTGATAGGAGCACTGTGACAATTTCCTGAAGGCAGGCAGACCTTTGCCACCAAGGCTGCCCAACTCTCAGCAACCCTGGAGCTGGCCCTGGAGCAGTAACGGGCTTAGTTTCCCACTTTTGCTGAGTGCTGTGGTTTGGCCCTCATACTTTCAAAAGCCTTGACCTTTCCCTCCTCAGGCTGCATGAAATGTTGTTCTCTGAGTTCACCTCAAGCCCAGCACCATGGGGGCTGGCTGCAGGGCTATGGCTTGGGCTGCCCCATGTCCCCTTGCAGGCAGGTTTCAGAGAGCCCAACTCCCCATGCCAAATTTTCCCCCATGGGGACAACACCCATACACAGGGAACTGGGTCCCTTGTGCCCTCCCTGTGGTGGGCCACCCCCAGGGCACATCCTGCCAATGCTTCCTTGGAATGCATGCCCCCTTCCAGAGGGGAATGACACCTGCAGAGCAGCACCCCACACCTTTCTGTTGCTCCTCCTTGCCATGATGAGGGGCTGGGCCACCTCACTGCCCAATGAGACCCAGTAAGACCTGCTATGTGTCACCTGTCACCTGCTGGTGACACACTCCTCGGCAGCAACACTGGGAGAGCAGCTTTAGAAACCTATGCCTTCAGTATCCCACCATACTGCTGGTTTTTTTTCTTCCCCAAACTGATGATAATTTCAGAGGACGATGACTTTTTAAAAAAAGGAACAAAATTTTTAAATCAGTGAACCAAACAGTTAAAGCATAAACATCTTTGCATAACTATAGCACAGCATTTCTCTTGTAACAGTTTTTAAATCGCAGCAATTGCACATCTGGTGTCTGGGCAGCTCCTGAAGCCTTTCATAATTCAGGTGAGAGTTTTGCTATCCTCAGTTAGAAAGCAAGAGGGCAGCAACCTCCAGTTTAACAGTGAGTTAACTAGAAGGCAAAATCATGAAGCTGTCAGTGACAAGCAGAAAACGTCCTTGTTTGTATTAAACAAAGACATCGCTAGAACTAAAGTCCCTGTTTTAGTAGCACGATACTTTAATGACACTGCTCCTCTTTTGTGCCAACACACATCATGAAACTTGGCAGACACCTGGGAGGATGTTTAACAGAAACTCAAGCGGCTCCCTCTAATAGGCAGATGTAGCTGAGGCTTTGGACACATTTTAGCAGGATGCAGTTTCAAGGTTATGATCAGAACTGCTGATACATCACAGTTACAAACTTACAGGGACTGAAAAAAAAAATCTTCACGAGGTTCACTTACAAGCTTGAAGAAAGTATTTAATGGGAGTGGCTGATGAGGATTAGTAAGAGGATGGAGGTACCAGCAGGGACCAAAGGTCGGGAAGCTGAGGTGGTGGAGCGCAGAATTAAAACGTGCCACCCAGTCAAATGAAGCAGTCTCCTTTTCTGTAACAGGGCTGATGAAGGCTCTTCAGTTCTGGCATGGCCTCGATGAGGATGTGAGGACATCTTTGCTGCAGACATGCTGAGACTCAGTCAGTTTTTTGTTTGGACTGGAGATGATGAGGTTTGACTGCGAGGACTGTGGCTTATGAGACTGAGAGTCATAGGTGACTTGCTACCAGTGCTGCTCCGTGTTTTGTAGGGGAGGCTGCTACAGCAGAGGACACCAAGCTGTTGTGACAGAAAGATGTGGGAGCAGGACCTTCTGTGCAAGGTTGTGTAGTGGCCTTGTGACTGGATTAATTTGTTTCAACTTGGTTAGTTTGAAGCAGGACTGGCAAGATCCATGGCCAGTGTCCTTGCTGCTGGGAATGTTTTATGCTTCCTGAGCTACTGCAGTTGCTTGTGCTTTGGGAATTGCAGGAGGGAGAGTTTCTTTGTGCCAGCAAATTTGGACCTCAAAGCAGTGTGTAGATGGGTGGAGTTGTGAGCAGCATCCCCAGAAATCCTGGTCTCCCAGCAGGCTCAGGTAGCTGGCACAGACTTGAGGGCACTGTTCCAGCAGTGGTGCACTTGCCTGTGAGAGTGGCTGCTTATGAAAAATGATCAATTTGATTCACAGCACAAGCTGACTGAGGGAAGCCCTTCAGGTGACAGAGGTTGCCCCTACCCTATTTTCCAGTCTGGGGTGAGGCACTGTCTGTGTGAAGTTTCTCTGGATGTTTTCTGAAGCTTACCCTGATCCCCCTCTTATTACAAGGGCTCCACATTAAGTCAGCAGGCTCCTGGTCAGAGCACTTGTCTGTGCCTGACCTGTTCTACTCTTTAAACTCCATCCATAACTGGTTTTGTTGTTGTCAGTTTTCTCTCCTGTCTCTCTCTATCCCTAGGACAATTTTAAGGTGGATTTCTTGGTTGCAGTTCCTGGATAGACCAAGAGAGTATGGTGCTCCAGACCACAAGATGTCTGCAGAAATGGAGAGCCAGAGATTCATTTAGCAGTGAACTTTGAACCCCGTTAGTTGGTGAGCAGGCACAAGTTTGGCCCATTTGCGTTATTCATGTCGATGTGGCTTGCCTGTATGTGGGTGTGTGCTTTGGCATGGCTCTGTGTCTGAATCAATTCGTTTACAACATCTGCCATCACCACTGAGCATTCCAGCATTTGGGCATTCGGCCCCAGCAGGAGGAATCACATGTGGTGCAGTGCACCAGTTGTCCACAACGATAAAGCATCTGTTTTAGGAGGCCAAAGCTGTCAGCTGATGAACAATGTCAAGTCCAAAATGGCTCCATCAACTCTTCAATTTAATTTCCTTGTGACTTTATTTGTCTAAAATTTTTTTTTTCCTTAGCTGTACTTCAGAGACTAATTGGGTTACTACTAACTAAATCCACTTGGAAGTCAAGCTGGGATTCATCATGGCCAAACCATCATTCTTATTTTCAGTCACCAATTCCCCTTGATGGGAATGTGGCATGGCCAGATTGCAAGGCACAAGCATACATGAGCAGGAACTGCTGGAAGTTGTTCGCTCCACCTGCAAAACAGATCCTTGTTCTTTTCTCAGCTCAGAGGAGGGCAGGGGTAGAATTCACTGGCAGATCATCACCAATATAGGCAAAACAACATGGCATCTTGGAAGCACCAGAGTTCCTGACTGTGTACTGAACTCTGTAAGCATGAATTCTTCACTGAAGACAATGGTGTCTCACTCTAAAATGGCAGGCAACTAGGCCTGATACCTTTCCTGACTGCACATAGGCCACTTCAGGTGTACTCCATGCATTTAAGTACACTCCATACTCGAGTGGCAACCCACTGGATACCCCCTACACCTTTCTCCCCCAGATCCCTCCAAAAATTTCTGGGCCTTCTGGAGCCCAAGCTAGGAAGTTCCTCCACTTGTATTTATTTGCTTCTTTTCCTCTTTGGCAGTCAGAGCACTCTCATTTAGGCTTGGGTAACAGCTTCAAACCCTCCCTGCACATGGGTAGGACTGAGGATGTGCCTTTATGCTCACTAAGCAACTTTACAAGGAGCCGCATGTGGCACCAGAGCATAGGTGTGCTGGCTGGGTGTCACGCCCACAGCTTTGAGGAGGTGTTAGTCAGGTGTGATGCCTGAGCCTCTAGCAGCGCTCTGCTAAGAAGGAGGATCACGAATTCATCACTGCTCGCTTGTTCCCAGTTACTATAGTAACTTCCTATAGTCCCAGCTTTGGGACTATACATGAAGATGGATTTTTTTGATCGTGTCTCCTGAAAGCCAAGCTCATCCAGCTCCTGCATGCTGTCGTCTCACAAAGGTGTACCACAATCCCACCTGCACCATTTGGAAGGATTTCGCCACATTCAGCACCCGCAGAGATACCCTCCAGGTACCTTTTTTTACCTACTAGACAGCTCAGCTGGATCTTGTATTAGTCTATTTGAAATAGGGTTGCAACATGTAGAAGCTGAAAAAAAGTCCATGCAGTGTGAACAGCATTATGTTCTACTCTGTCACACCACCTCTAGGACCTGAGGGAATAATAAGTGGAAAACGCTACTTTGTTTTCCCCAGATAAGGGAGAAAGGGCAATTTCTCTTCCATTTTTAAGGCCAGCCAGTAGGTGTAAAGCTTGATTAAATCGCGAACGCTTCACTTGGATGTTTTATGGGTTCTTTTTTCCTCTACATGAAGGTCAATATTTTGTTTGCTTCCCCTCTTTTCCCACAAATTCCAAAAGGTGTTTTTCTGTGTATGGTAATGTAACTGTAGCTGCTTCAGAGCCTGTTGATTTGCAGTCCAGCAAGGAACAGTAAGGTTTACCCTGAGACGTTAGGGCTAAACTGAGCCCTCCCCTGTTCTGCAATCAGTTCTGAACAGAGTGGGGAGAACTGACTGCTCGTTGCCAGAGGCAGGGTTAATGCTGCAGGGACACCCCAGGTGGACATGCCAAGCTGATGGGTCCCATCAGCCAGGAAAGGCAGATGTTAACCTCCAAGGAGAGGCGGGCTGTGCACCCAGAGTGGGGCAGTTTCCACCTGATTCCAGCTCACTGTACAGCTCTCCCTCTTGTCCCAGCTGACTCCCTCCAAGCCAAGGTCCATGAGGTCTGGCTCGAGCTGTGCAGGCCAGGTCCCCCACTGCTCACCAGAGCCAAGCAAAATGAGAGTATGAGTGGGCCTTTTCTCCACAGCCTGACAAAACCAGGTCATGTCTTTCCAGAGGAGGGCAAATAGGGCAAGTAATTGTACAAAACTACCCTGGAAAATCCAGATCATCACTGAAGTAACTCAAAACACCAGAAATGCTTAACACACTGTGGTGCTATTGCAGAAAGACTTTGCCAGTTACAGTAAGTGCCATACACAAAAAAAAGGGTTCTAGAGGTGCTTGAATGTTGCAGGGATCAAACCAAGTGTGTAGGTGTCATCTTAGAAATGAAAACATGTGAAATCATACTTTTAGAACACAGTCAGCCGTTCACAGGGCATGACCCAATCTCAACCAGCAAGGCTAGAGAATTCCTATAAAAGCAGTGCACAGCTGAGACAAAGTATGTTTGTCTCTGCAGAAGTGTGTTTCACTATTTTTAAAGCATGACTACTCCAAAAACATGCAGGGCAGAAGAGATGTTGTATTTTTCACAGACAAAGTCTAGTTACAGATCTCTGGGAACTTGTAAATAATATTTAGAATACAGAATTTTAAATTGGTGCAAAATGTACAGTCAAACACAAAACACATATTGCAAAATATATACAGAATTTTTCTAAGAACAGAACCCAAGGACAAACAGATGTTTAAATATAAGAGAAAAGTCCACCTTTTATAAATTACTTTTTCAAAAACCAATTATTACACCAGGTATGTTATTTGTAGACAAGTTACCACAATATAATGACATGTCTCATTTGCAAGGCAGGCATTGAGAAACAAGTTACGTCACTCAAAGCCAGTTTCTAAGACCAATCCACAAGTAAACATGTGTGATAATGCATTACTGGTTTGAGGCACACAATGTGGAAACAGTTTTCAACCACTTTAATGCTTATACTTAGGCGCTTTGTTTTTCTGAGAATTAGGCAGATGCACAAAGAATAAGCACTAGACACTAACTTGTCATCTTACATTAGTTTATTGGGCCAAGATGATTTATTATTGATGTATTAGAACATTCACAAAAACACTATGAGACGCCTTAGGAGTATCCTGATAATAAAACAACATTCATACAACTGGATGAATCTGGATAATTTAAATAACCAGAGGTGAAAAACAGTTATTTAAGCAATAGTTAAGCCACAGTTTGAGAAGAAATAAGATGTCATAGGTTGTTCATAAGTAGGAAGGACACTGAAGTCTATAGCAAACTACAAACTCTGATGCTTTGCATTCAAAGCAGAGATGTTCTCTTCCAATAATCAGAACTTGCAGCTTCAAGGTATTGATTGCTACTAGCTACACCATTGCTAATTAAACTATCACAAGGGTAACTTGCTTTGGGCATGTTTGGAATGCTGGAGTTGTACAGCTATTGCTATGCTACAGATCCCCGAATTTTGCTTTAAAATAGCAGTGAAGGCTTTATACGCACCTAAAATTACACAATAAATACTCAATAATTCTTCAAGCACCTCTTGCTACCCAATTTGGCAAGACCAGCAGCACTAGGAAATGGGTGCCGTGGTGAGCCAAGCTGCTAGCACTTTGACTCAGGCACTCCTGATTTGTGCCTGCCTGCCTTCAGAAAGCAAAAGGGCTCATGTGGAACACTGTGTGACAGGGAGAGAGAGGACTGTAACTGCCAGTCACCAGACGTGTAACCTTCCTGCAGTCAAGCACAAGGACAGGCTCTCTGCTCTTCAACCTGATCCATCTGGAGAGGAGTTCTGACCTGTACAGCTGATGTTTACATTAGGAGTTGCTGCCACAGGTGTAACAGGTGATACACACACTATAAATGAAGCCACATCTTCTGAAAACAAGTCATCCCCTAAATAACACACTTGAGCAGTGCACAGTGACACGCTAAATGGGTGTGCTGCTAGGAGAGCTCTGAGGGGTAACTACACCACTAACAGTGCCCTATTAAAAATTACTTTGCTTTGGGATACATCTTCAATATCTACACACATTTATTTCAAGACTTCAGACCGATTTTTACAAGAACACTGTTCTGCTTATAAAACATTCTCATAAATTATCTCCACCAAAAAAAAAGTCACTTTTTCAGAAAACATGTTCAGTACAACATTATCAGTAGAAATTGTCCTGTGAGTCCATGGCAGAAAAGTAATAATCTACACTTAAATCTCTCCAAAGCAACATAACCAGGAATCTAAAACCAGAAGGCAACTATTCCATTAATTATCATGGTAAGCAGAAACAATGCTTCCAAAACACATAGAGTGCACTCTTTCAGTGAACACCTATGCATTTACAATCAATAGTCACTGTCCTGTAAACATTGAAACTGCTGCTCTAACTGCAGGTTAAGATGAGTAATTTGCATTCATTCCACGGCACTCCACACATACAATCGCTACATTGTTAAAAAAAAAAATCCCCAAAAACATTAAATAGCAAAAGGAATGAAGGCTTTGAAGTGGACCTCTCCTGCAATTAAGTGTCAAATCAGTAAATACTGACACTATAAATTAAACTTGAACGTTACTTAAAACCTAAAACTTAGAATAGCAGCCAATTTGCTCAAAAGTCAGCTGTAAATACATACTGCGACGGGAGGAAGAAGCCATCTCTCATTCCCCAGCAGGCTTTCAAGAAGAACACAGTGTTAGATATGGACAGGGATCAGGAACACTGCAGTCAGAGAAACTCCTAAACAATTGCATTCTACAAACTTGTTTTCATTGCTACCTGAAAGTGCATCTTTGTATCTGTAGAATCATCCCCATATTTATACAAAAAGTACAAACGTGATTTTGTCTATCCTAAGCCTATCTAACGTGTAGTTTCTAGTAAGTGCAAAAAGTGTAATGAAGTTATATGTGCTCTGTGCATATAAGATCAAAGCCTGAAAATGAGGCAACGTAATCACCATGAATCCCAGGTAGTTCAGTAGTTGCTGAGCCTTTACTGCACAGCTGTTAAATGGCTAAAGCAGAAGCTGAAGCAGAAATTAAAGAACAGTCTAAGCCCATTAACCAGAGCAGTGTTTCAGAGCAGGAACTCTATTCCCTCACTCTCCACACACATTTACCATCAAATGCTCATGCCTTTATTCTGCACAGAGCTAGGCCTGAAGGGCAGGAGGGCAGCCTAGCAGAAGAGGAAGATGTACAGTTACACTGAAGGTTGTGAGGAAGAGGTGTGTGGTGCAGAATGAAAGAGTATCTACTGCCAGGTCTCTCAAGGGCACAAATCCAATGCACCCCCAGTAGGAGGAGCTGGAATATGGACCAGAGGCTATGCAGCACAGAGCATACCTGCTCAGCACATTATTAAGTACATACGCAGCTAAATCTGTCATGCCTTCAACATAAGCCCTTTTAAGTGTCACAACAGCTCCACTTGCCTTCTCCTCCCACAAAATGAGGCTTCATTGGATAATGACACGTTTATGTCAAGAGTCTGTCAAGTCACATGCACACATAAATATTTAGCAATTCGAAACAGCTGATATTCAAAACAAGTACATTACCTGCTCTTTAAAGAAATGAAATCTGTTACAATACTTGTAAGAGGGTAACTGTAAAGATTAACAAACAATTATCTAGAACAGTTCAGTTAGTTTTGTTTCTTAGTTAAGTCTTGCAGTGGACTATGCTCGGCTTTTTCTATATTTTAAAATGCTACAATAGCCATTGCCACTAATTTTAGACACACAAAGACTTGATTAAAATCTAGAAAGAGCAAGAGGAGCTCAAACTGTAAAAACACAGAGGCTGTACTCTAAAGACAGTTGTGTTTTTCACTATATTCCCATCATGTCTTGTTGGAAAGCGCCAAGTCCTGCCTCCTGTCCAAAACTGGTGAGAGAAAGATCCAGAAGCGAGTGCTATCAGAATGTTGTAACAGAGCAAAAGCTGTACAATTAGGCACTGTGGAAGGAAATACAATAAGGCGTGTTCTCAAAGGGTGTGTGCACATGTATGTATACGCATGTATGTACACGCACATATATACACATACACAAATAGCTTTTGGCAAAACAACAGTTTCATTTAAAAATCAATGCAGTGAAAACACCAGCAATTTAAATTATACAAATCAAGGGAAAAAGCCAGGGGAAAAGAGCAGCAAATTTTCTAAGTAGCACCTGTATCTCAGGGATGAGCTTTTGAATTTCAGTTCTCCCAGTTCAAGGCAGAGGTGTGTTTACCCATCAAAACAGATTTTAACCAACTGATCACCTTCTCTCATCTGCAATATTGGGCTATTTCAAAGGAACCATGATTTTCAGAACCCTTCTCTCCCCAGTGCTGGCAAAGCTTAAGTAAGACACTAGTAAAAGGTCAGGAGAGTGTTCCTCAGCAGGAGGGATGCCAGTTGTGCTACCTGTGCCTGCCATGATTTATAGGCAAGGACAGTGGAGAGAGGATGAAGGAGTGTGTACTCAGGACAGCAGTGAGCCTGTCTACAGTTATGGCTCCTGATCCTGTGTCCCTCGTGTTCATTAACACCTATCTTAACAAAACTGAGCCTCTTCCCCACCACCATTGCTACTGCAATATTCAAAGTACTTGGCCACAGGGTTCTCATACAATGTTACTCAGTCAGTATGGAGAATCATCTATCTTCACACCGTCATGAAAATTATACTGCATTGTTTTGTTCAATGTAAAGACCAAGCCTAAATGTTTTGTATTAACTGCAAAGAGTTATCTCCTCCTTTCAATCAAGTCTTACATACTATGGAAGAAAATACTAGGCCTTCTCAGACACTGTGTGTGATGAAAATGTGAAAAATAATAAAAGAAAAAAAAGAACAAAAATATTCTTGATACACTGGCCTTTACAGAACCTGAAACTGAAACATCTTAATAGAGGGGCTAAAGACTGAGTTTCTCTTTTAAAAAGCTTTACAGGAGGTTTCCTATCTCGACTGCCCAGGAATCCGTTTTGTCATCAAAACACATTAAGCATCTTTTTACAATGCACAGAGATCTGAGATGCCAAGTGAGTTTTTCTTAAGGTAAGTTTTCATTCCAGGGTGGCACTCATCTACTCAAACAAGATGGCAGTTGCTTTCTGGAAAAAAAAAAGAAAGGGAAAGAAAAGCAAAACTCAGAGCCTTCTTGTCCTCCACCAGGATCTCCTCTGGAAGTTGCAAAAAGAATACATTCATATTTCAGTGTCACATTGCTACCACGATGCTACCCTGAGACAGGCTTGTGCAGAGTTCCAGGGATGGAAAATCTCCTGGGAAGGATATAGTAAGGGGACCTCTGATTAAAGTACTGAGACCTGTGAGTTTCGTGTTATTTCAGAAAACAGATACTGAGCAAAAGGGAGAGAAAGCCAGGTCCTTAACAAGCCAAGAACTTGAAACACTGTCAGCTACATGCTGAAGGGTTATATATGTCTGGAAAATAGTAAGACAGGTTTATTTACTTGGGCTGCAGAAGACAGTCAGCATTGGCAATCTTAAAATTTATGCAAGTTTTTTGTAACAAAGAGTCAAGTTTTCTTCTCTACTACTGAGTCAGCAACTGGAAAGTAAGACCATGTATTCTTTCTGCTGCCACATGGATACAAAGCAGTTTCTCTGTCTTTCTGGACAATTACAAAGCAGCAATCTATTTCAGATATCCTCTCTAATTTGTGAGATTCATCCAGAGAGTGCATACCCTCAAATACAACACTTAATTCTTCCTACTTGTATTGCTGGTACCAGGATGCCAGAAGAGCTCCATCTGATCCTTCATGCCCAGGGTCTGAAGCAGACAACCCTGTGTTTAATGAGCAGGAAGACAAGGATTTTAGCTCTGTACTATCCAAACTATCTCCTTCACAGCATGAATCCAGTATGCATGTTGAATAAAAGTTAAACTGTAGTCCACACTGGGGTACCTGAAGAACATCCCTGAAATTAAGAATTTAAACAATTAAGAGAAGGTTTCACTGAAAACAGGAGTCAGTCCTCCAACTGCATCTCTACCAGAACATAAGAACAGAGAGAATCACTAGATAGGAAGGAGAGACTGTGGGCACCTGCCATTCTTCCATGGCTGTTTTGTCTCTCTTTGTAGCTTTAGCTGTATCATCATTCTGCTGCTGTAGATGACTCTCTTGTAGCACCCACATTCACACCCCTGTCTGCACCATGACTGGAAAGTAGAAAGCACAGGTAACGATCAGATGTTGCTAAAGTTGGCCAAGTGCTTAGAGTAGAGACTCATCAACAAGACCCAGCAAGAATTGCCTCAGCACGTAACTGGCTCCATCACAAAACTGGCTTTTGCATATTTCAAAGTTACACTTAAGTCCCCTGAAGCAGCTGGAGACGTTTTTCTAGACACACTGGCAAGAGGAATGCTCCTAAAGCTGACACTTGAGTGATGAATTCATGCCACCCATAGCTGAATTAGTTATTACTGTGCAACAGAGGACAAGTAAGCCCACTGTCTGGCTGAGTGGGCTCTAGGCAACATGGTTTAAGTAGCTCCAAGCAGCAGATGCATCCAAGGGGCAAACTAATGCAGGCCCCACCCCCTGCCCACAAGTGGCTTGCAGGGCCCCTTGAGTATGACGCTGACCCGAAGTGAAAGGTTCAGTCCCTGGAGAACCACGGTGAGATGAGTCTACCAGAGATGTGAGTGAAGAACAGCAGGACCACAAGCCATGGATAGCAGATATATGGAGTGCTTGGCAGGACTAGCACATCTGCTCCAGCACCACTCTGTAGCATGAAGCTGTGAAAGGAGTACTGGATCCCTTCAGCAGAGGAATAAATACAGGGCCTCTGAAGAGCCCACACTCGTGCAAGTGAAAAGGAGACAGTCACTGTGTCCCTGGGCCCACACGTGATAACAACACCCACCAAGGATTTGAGAAGCCTGACCAGGTAAGTGAATTTTCACGATGGCTCTTGCATTCCCAGTTATTTGAAGCCTACAGCATGATACATGCACGCTACAAGCTTCAACACTGCCTAAGGCTCCTCAGCAAAGCTATGCTGTACTTCAGCTCTAACAGATGACTGTGCTAATTCACTTAACACTAAGTGGTACTTCTTTTACACTAATTAGTGATGATTCTTTTAGTCTTTGAGTTTGCTGTTATATAATAGTCCAACTGTGACAAATTCATGAAAAAGAAACAGCACAATTAAAGACAAGAAGAAAGGTCTGGTGTCAGAGATAATGATTTCAGTGATAGAAAAAAATTGGTATACCATAATACTGCCTTGGGTATTCTTGTTTCTTTTTTTTTATGAGCATTGTGGCTACTGAAATTCAAATGCCTTCTAAAAGAGGCTTTGGCTGAATAATGAGAAACTAAGCTGCAGTTGAAAAATTGCTCTACAGGCTGTTTCCCCACCATTCATATTGCCCAAGTACTGCTGAAGTAAACTCTGTGAAATATTTTGACTCAACTGTTCTAGTACTTTCTCTCTTTCCAGTGCACTGGGCTCCTTTTATAGAAATAATCTCTCCTGTGTTTTGTGTTTTCCTCTTTACAGTAGTACTGTTTCAGCTGTGCTATTTGGATGGGTCCAAGTTCTCAGCAGCTTGTGTCTTTGCCTTCTTTTGGTTACGATGCTATTGTGAACATTATTTCAAAGGAACACTTTTTCAACTATGGAACAACTCACCAAAATTTATCTATGGAATGACTTTCTTTAAGAAGGAGCTAGGAGGAGAGGAAGAGTCTTTGTGAAGGCAGATACAGAAATCTCAGCATCTTGGAATCTCTGTTTGGCTGGAAAATGGAAATGGCTTATGGAAAAGCAACCCAAAGTAAACATTTCAGATGAGAAAAGTGTTACATGATAGTTATCTGTGACAATGAGGCACTATCTTCGAAAGACAAAGTAGAACCCAGTACTGTCAAAATGTAACGAAAGGCACGCTCTTAGGCAACACTCTTCAGGAGTTGTCCGTACGTGGTTTTACTGAACCAGCTTGGTATCTACAGTAGGTGTGCTGCATCACTTCCGAACACAGGTCTTCACTTAGCGTCCTCCTTCAGAGACTGACATGCTATCCACCTTCATCTCTCTCAGGCTTCCAGTTTTTTTCTGTTTCTGCTTGGATTTTTTCAACATGTGGACCTAAAATTGAAAGTTTTAAAAGAAAGGGAGTGAGTATTAAAATAATCACCAACAAGCTGATCGAAGGCAAATAACTAATAACCAAGTGAAATGCTGGAATTGCCACAGAAAACATTTAAATACACAACTATCTGATGCACCTATCCTTATAAAGCTATAGGATTAACTGCCTTTTTTTCCATAAACATGTTATATGTATGCATATAGATGTATATGTATGTGTGTGCATATATATTCCTGTACACACGTATACATACACATATAAAGACACAACAGTACTAGTCACTAACCTGATAGAAAGATAAGAAATGTTTCTCACTGAAGGACGAATTAGGTTTGTTCTCTCTCTTTCTTCCTATTTCCCCCCCAGCCCCTTCTTCTCAGGAAAAGAACAAAGTTTAACATATTCTGAAACTTTGATATATGACCCTCTCTTTCACCCATTTTTCTTCTCATTGTCCTGGTAGCTTTCCCAGGAGAGCTACATATTCTCTGAGACTGTCAAGACTGTCTGTAGCAACAAATTTCTGCAAGTTGGAAAGGCATTCTTAGAGTAGCAGGCAAATGTGTAGACTGGTGTGCACCCCAGTCAACTACTGCAAAACGTTTATTTCACAATTTAAATGTCAATAGAGAACTTAAATTCTAAGGCAGCTGACGCTGCCTTCCTTTTACATACACATTGAGACGTCAAGGAAAACCAGACATGGATTACTCCAAAGTCTCTTTTTTGCGAACCCTTTTGCTCATCCATTATTCATTTCTCTTCTTTGCTACTCTCTGACAAACCTTTCCTCCTCCAGCAAACTGATTCCTACCTTGCACACTGCAGTACTACCATGGTTCTTATAGCAGTGACCTGCTTCAAGGCAAGCAACACTGCCTGGAAATCTCAATATAGAGGAAAAAAAAATTAAGTCACTAGGCTGAAGTTCAGGGACTATTTTTTTTAAACACAAGCCTCATCTGAGCTGCTGGAGAGAGCCCTCAAAATACCCTCTGTAGAAACTGCTGTGTATTTATTCAACAGTTACCACATGTGCTGACTAGCTCCTTTAAGGTTAAGTACCAGAACACAACAGACAAGCAGAATAATATGGTAACACCCAATGGAGGAACAGAGTCAACTTGCTAAGAGAGACCTACAGCCAGTACCTTTGGTCCTGCAGCAGAAATTATAATCTGGCCAGGGGCCTGAATCCAGGGCTCTCCATCAACTTGAACTGGAATTGGCTTTAGGAGTGTTACACGAAAATACGAGCCTTGGGCTATGCGGATTCCTGATCGAAAACCACCTTGGACTTGACCCTGTTAGGAAGCAAAAGCCAGGATATCTATCACCCCAGTTAACAAGAAGCACAAATACTAGCTAGGATTAAACTGGGTGGATAGTATTTTATTCTCACCTGACATTTTAAGTTTCAAGTAAAAGAACTGCTTAGGCAAAATCTGCGTAGGATGCCTTTAGTGTCCCAGCATTAATTATTTCAGTTAGTGCAGAACTTGGACACCCCTGCAGGATGCTGGAGGCAAAACAACTTCCATAGTGAAGCTGTTTGTACTCCAAAGAAACAGGTACACTCCTTGCTGCTTCTCCTTTCATGAAAGATTTAAGGATCTCTACCAAAACACTTCTTCAGTGTCTTTTAAAAGATCTAAATTAAAAAATGGCAAAGTTGGCCAACACTAAAGATGAGCTGCATGAACTTTTAAGCACCCACCTTTCAATTTTTGATTGTTTTATGGATTAGTTATCTCTAATTACCTGACCACATATACCTTTTCAGCAGCATATTTCTTCAAATAGTGAACAAAATATGAAGAAAAGACAAAAATAACCTGCCATTCTACAAGACTGCGTTACTAATAGCAGGCCACTGTAAAAATATGTAATACATTAAAGAATTAAAGTTCCATATGTTGAGTCACAATCTTCTTAGCAGAATGGCATACCATCTGCTTCATGTAGCACTCAGATCAAGAGCAGCTAGCACCACATTCTCCAACAGGGAGATTCCAAATCAGATTCCAACCAACAAGGGCTGGAAACCCTGTGGTAGATAGTAATAGAGTCACCTGTCTAGAAAGAGTGTCCACCCTGATGAGATACAATAGGATTTTTTTGCAAGTACATTAGGTGAAGGGTGCATGTTTTGGTAGTATTAGAATATAATCTTGTTTTCATGAACTGTTTGGCTCTGGCACCATGATACCTGTCATGAGAAAGCAAAGTGCATTCTATAATACATACATATATGTGCATTTAACATATATGTATGCATGTAAGTCTCTGGACTGGGTTCAAAGCCTAGTTAAGTTAGGGAGCATTTCCCCACGTGCTTTGAGCAAGTTCTTTTCACTCCCATTACTCCTTATCCGGCCTTAACAGAGAGGCATCCTTTTTAGGACTACGCACCTGCAACGCACTGTCTGTTACAAAATCGAGCCTGTCTGAAAGAATGTCTGTTCCTTCTGCGCTTACTGGGATGCCAGCTTACCATGTGAACGACGCCAGTCACACCAACAACTTCCAGCAGGCCGTCGTCGATGCGCGGCTTCTCGAAGCGGTTGTCGCTGTCAGAGCCCCAGAGATCGGCTCCCGAGCCCCAGCTGCGCGGAGAGCACACCACAGTCACCACCCACGCCTGCCTCGGGGCACCCTCCCCGGCGCCCTGCTGGGGGTGGCTGCTCTGACAGGCTCCCAGAGCCAGACACTCTGCTCCCCCCCATCAGCTGGAGGGACTGCAGTTCCTGCGCTGCGAAAACAGGAACCGTTCTTCCCAAAACCTGGGAGAATTCTGGTACGATCTTTTGGTAGTAAAAGGAGGAGCGAAGGAAACAGTTTCCATTGGAAGGAAAAAAGTGTAAATAAGAAGGAAGTGATTCCAAAGGGTTTTAGTTTGCTGGGAAGTACAGGTTACAGCTTCATTAACCCTTACCTTTCAAGAATTAAGAACTTAACATAGCTCTTACTGGTCTTGACAATATTCACAGAACCTACTGAATGGAAGTTAAAGCTAAAACAAGTATGAAGTTTTTATTCTTGTACCTGGCCAAACTCGCTTGCAGTTATTAGCAGGTTCTATCCTGCTAATATGCACTTCAATCCTCTGACATGCCTCTGACAATTTATTGCCATGTTCCTTTCTGTACAACACTGACCCTCCTCACTCAAATCACTCGCTTACTGTTTTTATGCATAGGCTGCTCATCACTAGTCATGATTTATTCTTCTACACAGTTCTCATGTGCAGTGTGTATTTGTCTCTGTGCAAAGGTGTGTATACACACACAAAAACACATATTTGAATAAGAAGTTGAAGAATTTTCAGACTCAAATACAAAGAGATACAGGTTGTTTAAGATAAGAGGGTCCTTGAAAAAGAATAGAATGGCACCACTAATCACCTGCTAGTTTTGTGCAAACAAAAAACCTTCCTCGACCAACAGTAGACCTAAGGAAGCCAGAAATCTGAGGATATGGCTTCCTTTCTCCCACAGCAGTAAGTCCAGCTCCCTGCAGGTGTCAGGGCAGCACCCACAATCCCACAAAAGGTACCTGAACTGAGGGTTTTCAACAGCTACCCAGGCAGCATCACAGACTCCATGTACACTGACCAGCTGCCTGTGTGACCTGGGCAGTGTTTGGCAGTTGAATTCTGTCTGACCTTCACTGCAGGAATTGCTTAGGTCCCTGGTCTCTAACACGTCAGAAAGCATGTGCAGGTCAATCATCTTTGATCCTTCCACATGTCACTGTGAAATCCAGTCGACTATTCAATAGTGGAGGGACAGGGGAAGATGACAGTGGACAGAAGCCATGGGCCTAGAGCCATGCCTAAAAAGTCATGTTTTGCTAGGAAACTGTGCCAAGAGAATTTGGAAGACCTTTGGTGAGGAAATTATTCCAAACTGCTGCCAGGACAGAGAAGAAATAGCAAATGTATGGGGTTTGCATAAAACCTGGGAAAACAGGATGGTGTAACCTTATTATCATAAGAATTCCACCTTTATGTGAAATGAAATTGTGAGTTTCAGCGAATAGCAAAAATGATGTCAAAATAGTATTAAAAACTAGCTCTTTATGCACAGTTGTACAGACAGCGAGTCATGCAGTAATCAAAAATACCCACTAAGAACCTCCTACTAATCTAAGCTGCTTAACATTGTATCTAACCATTTGACATTTGATGCTCAAATACCAACCCGCAATTCCACACACACAGCCAGGCATGCATCCACAAGGGATCCTTCCTCTCATTTTTACCTGGGTATATTAATAAAAATGAGTCCTTCTATACTTGGTAACTCCACCTCATGCTGGTCCACTTGCAGCTTTATGTCCTTGTGAAGGTTTCTGGTATGACTAATCTTCTGCAGCCCAACTTTCACGTAAACTCCTTTGTTGTGAAACCTAGGAGCAGACAAGTATCTTGTAACTAAGAAGTGAGGCCCAGCATAGCACTCTTCGTTGTATGCGTACCAGTATTGTCCTCTAGCAGGTATGTTTAAAGACTTTTTTCAATTAGAACCGTCTTCAAATTCTTCTAGCTTTACTGCAGAAACAAAGCATAACCCATGAAGTGCTACTTTATACACCTTTTTCTTAAGAGATGATTGTGCTGTCGAAGGATGTGGAGATTGTGAAATTTTATTACAGAAAAATCATCCCTTTTAAAGCATTGCCTGAATGCAATGCCTCTTTGAAATGTAAACTTCTGGGTTGGAAGGTTATATTTTTAGAGGTCTTCATGACACATTTTAAAGTCTTTTCTCATGCAATGCTAGAACACTTCTGGCACAAAAACACTTGATAATCTTTGCTTTACACATTGCTTGTTAATTTGAAATATACTTAGCTGCAGAAACTTAGGCTTAGTAATGTTATTTTGTGACAGAGCTCTAACATTGCTAATTTTAGAATAAAAAAGATGAGGAGGATTTTTATGGCATCCCTAGAAATGGCAAAATATTTTAAGAATAACATAAACAAATGATAGTTAAACACACAGACTATTTTGTTCTATAATGGAAACCTTTGGATATATGGCCTTCAGAGTAACCTTAAAATAAGAAGCATAAATTTTCATTATTTGACCCTACTAGCACATGGGATTCCAATGACACCAACTCTGCAAAATCTCTCTAGCATTATGTCTAAATACTGTAGACATTCAAGCGCAGAAGACAGCCAGTTTAGCATGTGGGTTCTAGTCAGCTCTTCAGAGACCTTTTCAGTTATTTTAAATTATTATATTGGGGATAATTAGTCCTATGTCCTAACAGTTTTAAATAGCACTGAATTAAAGGTACCTCATGTAACACCATTTAACACATACTTTTCCTCCAGACAAGACAGTAACATATGTCTGTGCTAAGACAGGTTCTGTCTAATTTGGATACAAATGAAAAATACTGGAATATCAGTAGAAAACATAGTACTTTAAATATCCCCGAGGAGTATTAATTTTTGTTGCAGGAAGCCTGCAGAAACTGAAAGAATATAACACAGTGGCCTAACTGCAGAACACTTGTGTATCTGTGTAAAACAATTCTACACTTGCATTAAATTATGCAGAATATTCTCTCTAACTTCACATTCATGAAAACTGCTTGCCACAGCAGTCTCCTGCCATTTTGGATGGCACAAAGAAGATGTGGCCTCTTCTGTGATAGGCCATCCTAAAAACTGCTGCAGGACCCTAGGGGAATGACTTGGATGACGGGGCAGATGACTTCACTGATGACACAAAGGTTAGAGGAGTGGCTGATACCCCAAGAGGGCTGTTCAGCCCTTCAGAAGGATCTCGACGGGTTGGAGAGTTGGGCAGAGTGGAACTGTCTGAAATTCAACAAAGGCAAGTTCAGGGTCCTGCACCTGGGAGGAATAACCCCAGGCACCAGTACAGGCCTGGGAAGCAGCTCTGTGGAGAAGGACCTGGGAGTCCTGGTGGACAACAAGCTCTCTATCAGCCAGCAGTGTGCCCTCGTGGCCAAGAAGGCCAAAGGTATCCTGGGGTGCATTAGGAAGAGCCTTTCCTGCAGGTTGAGAAGGGTGATCCTGCTCCTCTGTTCAGCCCTAGTGAGGTCACACTGGGAGTGCTGTGTCCAGTTCTGGGCTCCTCAGTACAAGAGAGACAGGAGCTCCTGTCCAGTGGAGGATAATAAAGATGACCAGGGGACTGGAGCATCTCTCTTATGAGGAAAGGCTGAGGGAGCTGGGTCTGTCTAGCCTTGAAAAGAGATGACTGACAGGGGACCTCATCAATGCCTGAAAGTGTCTGAAGGCAGGGTGTCAAGAGGATGGAGTCAGGCTTTTCCTGTTGGTGGCCAAGCAATAGGACAAGTTCCACCTGAACACAAGGGAAGGACTTCTTTACTGTGTAGTGATCTTGCACTAGAACAGGTTGCCCAGAGAGGTTGTGGAGTTTCCCCTCACTGGAGACATTCAGGAACTGTCTGGATGCAATCCTTGCCATGTGCTCTGGGGTGACCCTGCTCAAGCAGGGAGGTTGGACCAGATGACCACTGTGGTCTTTTCCAACCTGACCCATTCTGTGATTCTGTGAATGAAGGCAGATGCCCTGATCATTAAATTTTACACTGTGAAAAGAACTCACACAGCTTGGCAGTCAACAATGCAAAAACCATCACTGTCACAACATGCACTATTTTTATCTGCCCTGCAATGCAAGTTCAGCATTAAATTCCTGCAGGGAAGTCATCACTGCACTTAGAACTGCTAACCAAGGTAAGCAGCCCTGACCACATAAAGAGACTCTACTGACTGAGGCCAGAGAGCAGACAGCTTTTGGGACATTTACCAGCTTAAGGTCTTGCTTCACAAGAGCACTCAAGCCTGTATTTCTTCCAAGGACTACCTGCAATTTCTGTTGCCACAGCCTGAAAATTCCTGTTCTGCACTCAAGAGCAGCCAGTTCACATGTGAGCAGCTGCTGCACCTGATACCCTTTTTAGTTAGTTTACCAAAAATAATTTAAAAAAAGTGCTAATAATGCTGATAAGACTGTGCACTTGCTTACCATGGGAAAGTGCAAAGCCAGTCCTTTTAACAGTCATTGTCACAGGCAGCCAAAGGTAAATATCATGTGTCAGCACTGTTAACCTGCACAAGCTGTTTGCCTTTTGCAAAAACATACCTCAGTTTCAATTAATTATTTCATATTTCTTTTCCAGAAATATATAGCCCTTCAGATTTGAGGGAGTGGGAGAGGGAATCATCTCTCTTTTCCCATGTTGCCTAAATGGCTGTGGGGAAAAAAAGACTCCAAGCCCTTCAAGTCCCCCTGCAAGAATGGTACCAAGTCATTGCCCACGGAGCTGCAGGTGCTGCACACTGGGAACTGACAGATAAAGATTACAGGGATGAAAAGCACATAGGGCAACAGAAATCAAAGTATAACCATCATATGCAGTGGCAATAGGAAAAGGGCGTATCTTTCGAAGTACTGCTGCTTTGCAAACACAGAGGAGTTTGTTCTGAAGAAAGAATGAACGTCACTTATACATGATATTAACTGCAAAAGGCAATCTAGGAAAGCTTCATATACTAGATTAGGCACTGCCATATGCTAACTTATTGCCTGATTTTACTACCTGTGATGTTTTTAATCCAATTCATTGAAAATGCAAACCAGTGCCTAATAGTAACAATAGAAACAATTATCTTGTGTTATTCAGTTTTTAAGAAAACCGCTATGAGCAACGAGTGTAATGATACACAGAATACAGCAAGACACGTGGGATTACACATCATTACACTTATAAACAGTTAGAGAGTATTTTTAATAGTTTGAACACTGCACAGTTGTAACTGGCTGTAACTCTGGCAACCGAGAGACAATTTAGAGGACATTTAATCATAGAGCAAAGCAGACAAAACAGTTTCTACAAGCAATTATGGATTAATTACACAATTGTGATTTCTTTTACTCATCAATTTGAGTGGTAATCAGAAGAAAAAAAAAGCCCCATTACTGGCTTGTCAGAAAGAAGGAAGAAAGGAAGGTCTCTCTCATTACTTTTTTAATAAGTCTCCCTTGAGATAGAGATTTTTTCTTTATCCTTAACACCAGCATGCAGCACTAAGCAAGGGTGTAAAAGGTACAGAAGAAGTTCTGAAGAAGTTCTGAATGTGCTTATTGCTTATGTAGCAGTACTGCCCTCATTCCTAATAAAGACTTTTAGCAAGAGAGATTTCCACTAACTCAAAATTTCACTGAACTCAACACTGCAGACTAAGAGTACTAAATAACAATGACACGGCTTCCAAAAACTGCGTTGGTGCTCTCTATTTCCTCTATTAGAGGAAAAAACCCCAAACTGAAACAAACAAAAAAGATGAATTCTGGGCCTACAAGTTCCTGTCTAACTCAATTCCTCCCTGTCCTAGCTCTGCCTGAAGCAATATTGATTTGTGGATAATTGTAGCATTTAAGGTTATCAGCTGTAGTGTAAATTGGAAGTAATGCAGTACACAGAGTTGACCTTCACACCTGGTTTCCCCAGGATTACCTGCTATTAAATTTCCCTGGTTCTTCTTCTCTAGCATGATGAAAGTCCAAGCTCAACTCTGCATCAATGCCAAGACCACAGTAATTGTTCATCTGTACAATCTGATTAAAAAAAAAAAAAAATTATTATTTCCTGCTTACATTCATAAATTAAGAAGTTCCAAAGTTTTTCAACAAAAGCAAGTTTTGCAGATGATCCCTCCAAGTCACTTGCATCTTGAGAGATTCTGGAAAACATTTTCCAGAAACGTTGCACTAAAAATAAAGCTGTAGGAACAAATGTTGATACACAGCCACTGTTTCCAAAGTATCAGAAACTTCAAAGTTAAATGTTAATTAAAAGTGACAGGCATAATAAGGCAGAAATAAAAACTAATGCAGAAAGAAAACCAATCAACCTCTCAAAGCTATTCTATGCAATAACTTCCCAAGTTGCTGAACACCCATGCCACTATTATTTTTGGCATCAACCATGGATTTATCATTACAGTGCTAGGAAGATGCTCTTCCTTACTTTGGAAGGTGACTAGCTTATATCAGAGTGTAGAACTTGACTTCACCTACTCAGCTGTGTCTTATATAGCTCCCTATATGCCAGGCTCAAGTTTCTACAGATTTCTACCATTTTTGCCATTAATTTTTCCTTTGTATGCCATAGCTTTTTTATCCTAGTACTTGACTCTCCCACCCTTCACCTTTAAAAAGCAGATTAGGCACCCAGGGAAAATAAACCCCTGCCTCCACCAAGTGAAAAATAGCTGGAACCTGAGCAACTTAAATCCTCCAACTGACTCATAATGCCTACGATTTTCCAGTGACCAGACCAAAGTCTTAGATAATTGCTGCCATTGTTACAATTTCCTCCTTTTTTTGTCACTCCCTTGTCCAATTTCTTCTTTTTGTCTGAAGACAGAAAGAACCAGCATTCACATACAGCTCTGAAGTCAACAGCTACAACCAACATTTTTATTTTCCTAAATAGAAACAAGTTAATATGAAACAAGGAATATTGACTTTCATTCAAAAAAGTGCAAATAATGGATGCTACACATACAGACACGCAGTGGGAGCAAGATGACAGAAGGATTTATTTCCTGTATATGCTAGCAACTCCTAGTAATTTTTTAAACCATGAAAGGAAAGATACGAGTACCTTTTGAGGAGTGGGGTGTTTCTTGGTTGACACTCCAGTTGTAAAAGTGTTCTGCAAAGCATCTAGCATTCTTTCCAAACCCTTCTCTTATTTGAGAAATAATTTTCTTTCCAGTTGAAGCAGATAGGTATGCCATTACCATGGGAATCTTTTCATTAAGCCCCTATCAGATGCTTTTTGCCAAACAGCTATGAAGTGTGTTCTGCAGTCAACCAGCCCTGCCCAGACTGAAACACTAGATCCAGATGTTGCTGTGTTCACTAACGAACAGCTCAGTAAGGCCTGAGTGCAAAGCCAAGTCAGCCAAAAAAATTAAACTATGTTAATATCCATCATCTTTGTGATTTTTGACAGAACAGCAGCTCCTAAGAATCAGAGCCAAATGGTACTCCACTTACCTTTGGAGGCTCAGGTTCTGCAATACCATTCTCTGCACCTTCAACTGGCTCTTCTGCATCCAAAAGGATAGTCCAACGGTCCATAAGGACATCATCTGCCTCATCCACGGAAACCAAAATGGAGTATGGGTCCTCCCCACTGTAGCCAGCTCCCCATCGCAAGACCCTCCCCAAGTCATTACCTGGACAACAACAAAAAATGCCAAATTATGACTGTACTTCGTAATCAGTGCATCAGCCCTGTTCTACAAACCACATTGCATTCAGGTGCTCCAAACAAGCCACAGGATTAGGTGGGTTTGGAACAAAAAGTCAACAAGCAGAAAAAAAAAAAAAAAATCTAAGTTTTGTTGTGGTTGCACATGTGCTTACTATTACATACAGACACACTCTGATCTGGAATCTTTTCACACACACAAAAAATGCAAAAAACCTGTTACTGAGTTAAGATGTCAGGGAGCAACTGAGTTCACTGGTTTAGAGAAATGGCTGATGCCTCTGTGGTTGTCAGGAGGAGAATATCTTGCCTTCTCCAACTCCTGCCCACTCTCAAACACTCCATACACTCTGGCTGCTTGTTTTTCCTTCAGAAAGTGTGGCTGATATTTCCTTGAAAAGCTGACACTGCAATTTACCCTCCAGCACCAGCCAGAACTGAATCACGGCATGTCTGCTGCAAAACCGAGTTCTTTGTCAGAAAGAAAAATAAAGATAGAGCTCCTGGAGGACTTCTGCCCTCGGAAGAGGAATGGTTTTTGCTGTGATTCTCACCTGTTCCTAAAGGTAAGATGGCAACTGAGGGTTCTGAGCACACCAGCTTGTGCCTGATTTCCTCGAGTGCACCAAGGACCCAGCCGACAGTGCCGTCCCCTCCGCACACCAGCACTCGGAAGGAGGGGACTTTGGAGAACGTGTGAAACCTCCATTGTAAAACAAAGCACAGGGGAAAAGAAACTTTACAATGTAATACAGGAACTGCAAAGTCTCCTAATATGCTATTTAAGATAACGAAATATTATTGGAATTCTGCCCCATGCCCCCCTTTACCATCAGTTTCAGGATTGACTTCAACAAAGAGAATGGAAAAATAGGAAGTTTTACATAAAGCTGAATTTAAGAAAAAAAAGAAAACCACATTCCTCTAAGATTCTTCACTTCTCTTCAAGAGTTAAATAATTAATCACTTTCATTTTCAAAGGCACAGAGATCTAACTAGTCATAATTTCAATACGAACATATACAACTCTTTAAATCCTAGAGGAGATGTTGATTAGTGATGGTGTTTTTTTACTTAGTCATAGGAATCACAGAACATTTTCTTCTTCATAGTACTGTTTTCCTGGTGACTCTTACCTTTTGTGGTTTTTCATCCCACATAAAAAGACACCATGCAAAGTAATTTTTATTTCCTGTTGCACAAGAAGCAATTAATAAATAGGAGCATTTTGCTGTAAAGCTACAGAAAGATTCCAAGGCCAAAACAAAATGAACTAATTACTGAAACTGAAGTTTGAACTGCAATAGAAAGACAATAGAATTATACAGTTCTGACAGAAAAATTAGTTTGTTTATCTTGCCTCCTGCATAGGCTGCATTTCTTCCAACAAAGCTTTTGTTCTGAAGATCTTGTCCTGACAGTTTTTTTTATTAAAGCAATGCTGAAGAAATGAAGAATAGGCTACAACCATCACTTTCAGTTTTATGAAGCTGGTAACAAAATGGGTTTGATTAAAACAAGTCACCAGTTCCTGCCTCCTCACAAGCACATTATGTCCTGTTCCTTGTAGAAATGTTGCAGCTGCGATCAGCCAGGCCCTGTTAATTCTGTAACTGTGGCCAAGTTTCAAGAGTCAAGACTGAAAATTTTATTACTTTCCTAGTAGTTCCCATGAAACAACAGAAGAAAAAAAAAGCAAAAATCAGTTTTGTGAGGAAATGTGCCATTTCTCTGTCCATCTCCATTCAAATATAAGACATTTTTAATAGTTGTTAAACATGTGCTATTGTAAAGTGCATCTGACTTTGCCCAGATCAGATTCTGCTAGGCTTGACAAAAATGTATATACCAGGAACTACTCTATTCTCTTTTCTTTAGAGAATGTCAAAGTTTAAATCTGGTCTCACAGTAAGAACCAGTCAGAAGGGAGTGATCCACTGCCCTGGTGTTCAGGTACAGAACAGAAGCAATTTAGATCTTCAAAATAAAATCTAATACATCCTTTAAAAAAACATAACAATGTAATTTTTTTTTTTTTTTTTTAAATATGATGACTTACCCAGGAAGTGGGCCCCCATTGGTAAGTTCAAAGACCTGGTGTGGGTTTAGCAGCTTTCTAAAACTGTACAGCAGATCCCGACCTTTTAGCCCACCACTTTTTGGATTCACAAATACAAGAAGTGGGCAGCAATTCTGTGGTATCTTGGAAGCCTGAAAGAAAACCAGAAGAAAAGGATAAGCCAAACCCATGAATAGGAAGAAAAATTACTACTGCATCTCAGAAATATTACCTGGTGCTTCCTTGATGATTGGTAAAAAAAAATCCATATTCTATAAATAAAAAGATTCAATGTCCAGAAGTGGACAGGTTAGCTGCTGTTCTTGATGCCCTGGGAACTGAAGTCTCCTTAACCCACTCCAATTACACAGTGGAGCCAACATGAAACAAAGTCATTGTAAGCAGCCCTTCTTACACTTTTTCAGTAAACAGTCTATGCCAAAGAACAGTGTAAGGGATAAGAGGCATGTACAATTCAAACAGAGAAAGGAGAAAGCTTCTCCTAAAGAGAAAAAGAAAAGACAGAACTTCCCTCCAAACCAACTGAATATTTTTTCTTTAGTTTGGTGGTTGTTTTAGAATACATGTTAATTAACAAGGCCAAAACATTTCAAAATGAGGATGTTTGGGCAGACACTGGCGTACCCCTCCCTATGAAATAAGAGGCTGGAAGCTTCTTTCAAAAATATGCAATTAAAGCTTTTCTATCAGGAGGGTTTAATCAGGAGTGCCAGTATCTTATGCTTTACTGAAAGGGCTCTCAAAGCATGGCCATGATGCGGTGGAGTCTAGTACCCATCCAGAAACCACTGCAAAGGAAGCCACTGGACATGGCAGAGGTGGGATTTCCTGGAGCACTCCACAGACTGCACGGGAACTGTACCTGCAACCTCACCAGATGTCAAAACCTCCAGCCAACAGAAGCACCCCCTCGGGACTGGCTTTCAGCCAGCCACTCCGCCCACGAATCATTCTGTAAAATGATCTGTAAAGAGTTCTAGAAAGATCAGAAGACTCTGGCACGCTTTTCATCTGTCCTGCCACGGGGCTGGGGGCAGGTATATGCCAGAAAAGTTCGCTGGGCATTTCAACAAGTGCTCTTCAAAACAGAAACATTTGCCACAGTCCCTAAGCTGTAATAATTTGTATTTACACATTGGACAGCATTCAGAGAACAGCGATTTGTCACGCAGCTGACCGGATGGATTCAGGGAACAGAACAACAGTGCTAAATATAAGTCAATTTAGACAAGAATGATTCAGGGGGCGGTGAGGCAGCAGCATGACGGCAGCGTGCAAGCATGTGGAGAGATACCAACAGCTACACAGAGGAGGAGACAGCACCCAGAAAGCCTGTTGACTGCTGTCTGTGAGCAATCACCAGAGTGCACGATCTAAGGTGAACAATGGAGAAATCAGGACAAAAATAGTGAGTTGAGTTTACGGGGATGTGAAATGGGGTCTGACAGTGAGCTACCCCAGACCATCATCTACCTGTGAGCTGATATGGATGCTTAAAAACAAATGTTTGTTTGGGGCTTCACAGTACTTGAGAGATTTCCTCTAATTTTCCTTTCTTAAAAGAGCTGGCTGCTAATCCTCTGCAAGTCACACCCTGCCAGATGTGTCAAGATACCCAAAAACACAGAAGTACCTCTCCTCTAACGCTGCCTGCATAAGCAATGCTCTCTGCCATCCAGTGTGACTTGTCTCTCGAAAAGGAAAAAACACACTGGGAAGAGGAACACTAAGCAAGTAAGAAGGCTGGTGGAGCAGGCACACACTTTTCTTGCTCCTTCATTCTCTGTCCTTTAGATTCTACCGGAGACATTCACTTTGAAAATACATCTGTTCTCTTGAAAAATATATTAGCCAAATAAGGCCTATTTTGGGGGACAAGGAGCCAAAAGAGCCTCAAAACTTTGTTCTACCAGAAAGGTTCCACTGCTGGCAAAACAATTAGGTTGGTGAGACAGAGGCTGCATAGCTGTGCATTGAGCTTTCTCCAAAGGAACCACCTTCATGCTGAACTGTGACAACTGAGCTCAAAACACCTCTCGCCTTTATATTCAGTATTATTGGAAAGGGGGAAGCAATTACTCAGAGCATGTCCATAATATAACAAGGGTAATATATTCATTTCTGTTAAGCACACGAGAAAGATTACTTGTAGGCAGCAAAGGAAGCCTATGGAAAACAATGCATGCCTCTCTCGCAAAAAGGAAGGACTTTTTGAGTGTTAAGGTCAACAGCTCAAGGATCCACACAACCCAAAGAGACAAGTGTATTTCCTTCCCTTCAGCCATTCCAGGCATTAATGAAAGAGTAAGCAGGGCTCTGCCTTTTCCAGAAGTGAAAACCATCTTGTTACTCCACCAGTTCCTGCACCACCATCTGCCATATCCTGCCTAGAATGGTCCTTTGATAATCACAGAATCATCAAGATTGGAAGAGACCTTTAGGATCCTTTAGCCCAACTAAAGGTAGCCTGGCACTACCACTGTGACCCCTAAACCATTAAATATCGTACCACATCACCCAGCGCTACAACATCTCCAGGGATAGTGACTCTACCACATCCCTGGACAACCTATTCCAATGCCTGACCACCTTGACAATGAAAATGTTTCTAATGTCTAACCTGAGTCTCCCCTGCCTCAGTTTAAGGCCATTTCCTCTTCTCCTCTCCCTGCAGGCATGGAAGAAGAGACCGGGCCCCGTCTCACTACAACCTCCTTTCAGGTGTGTGTAGAGAGTGATGAGGTCTGCCCTGAGCCTCCTTTCCTGAGACTAAACAACCCCAGCTCCCTCAGCCACTCCTGGAAGGCAACAAGCGTTGTTGCCGTTCACTGGACACGCTCCAGTGAACGCTCCCTGTCCTTTTTCTAAGTGAAGGGCCCAGAACTGAACACAGTATTTGAGGTGTGCCCTCACCAGTGATGGGTCGAGGGGGAGATCACTTCCCTACTCCTGCTGGGCACACTGTTCTTGATCCAGGCCAGGATGCCACTGCCCTTCTTGGCCACCTGGGCACACTGCTGGCTCACGTTCAGCTGTCTGCCGACAGCACCCCCAGGGCCTTTTGTGATGAGCTACTTTCTAGCTGCTCTGCCCCCAGCCTGTAGCAATGTGTGGTGTTAAATCCCACAAGCAACAAAAGGCAGAGCAGCTCTGAAAGGAAACATCATGCCCCACGGGGTAACAGAGCAAACTGTTCCCTTCCTGCACTCTTTGTCCAGCTTCTACTCTGCCCTACCTTCTTCCCTCCTGACCATATCCCATTTCTTCCTCCTCAGAGTTTTTTACTACCTAAATACCATCTCCAGACCTTTCAATTTTCTGAACAATGACAGCAACCTGAAACCTCAGGCTTGGTCTAATGCCTTGGAGACTTGCAGGTTTTAAAAAGCGGGGGTTAAGAAGATAATATATAGAAAAAAATACTAAGTTCTGCAGCTCAAAGTAATTAAAAACTTGTCTAAAAAAGAATGAGAGAAAAGAAACCAGCCCAACAATTACCTTACTTGAATGTGACAGGAAAATTTGATTAACTTCTCTTTTTCAGGAAATCAGTTTCTAAAAATACCGGTTTGGGGCATTTAGAAGTGACACGTTGAATATGTTTTTTATATTACTTGCTTTTCCAGGCAAGTTCTAGTGCTCTGGGTTTAAAACTAATTAACTAAAGTAATTCTAATGGAACTTTAGGGAATCACAATGATTTTTGAGACATGGTGCACTCTAAAGCATTCAAAAGCACAGCTGTGTTTTATAAAGTCACCTGAGATATTTCCCAAATAAATATAAAGTATTGTAAATATGCATTTACAGTTTCTACAAAATTGCCATCTAAACTTCCCGTCAAGTGTCAGTATTGTACGAAAAATAAAAATTAAATAAAAAGTTAAACATATACCCTGAATGCTACTAAGATTCACAAGCAGCTGCAGGGAATGCCTGGAGCTAAAAAAATATCTGTATGCAGTGTACACTGAGCAGTCCTAGTACTCAAAACCAGCTTTGTTCAGGTATCTTCTGCTGTAGATTCCTAACTATACTCATTTAGTACTAGATGTATCTATGCAGAATAAAAAAGTGTTCTAGAAAGTGCTTATCCTTACCGTGAACTTGCTTCCTATCATGACTCTTCACTAAGCTTAAAAGAGTAATCAACACTACTAAATCCCCAGATAAAGGCCAGCTTCTAAAAAAACAATTGTCTTTTGGTAGGGGTTAAAAACTCTATGGTTTGTACAACAGAGCTGGGCTGCTGTTGTGCTTTCTCAAAAGTACACTCTCTGTTACAATTTCAGACGGCCACAAGTTTAGCGAGCACCTTTATGCTGCAGAATCTTTTTAAAACCCTTAGTAAAGCCCCACTGGGGACATACAAATGAGTTTGTTACTGGGCAGAAGACAGTATGTGACTCACAGCCTGAGGACTCCCTTCCCCCTTTAGCTCTGGCTTCACTGCTCTGCTTGAGGAGTGAAATCTGCAGAGGGGTTTTGTGTTGGCTGGCGTTCAGGAAGGAATTTATTGCTCTTTTCCTAGAGACAGCTGAAGGAGTCTGCGTGATTTAGACACTCTGACAGTCGCCCTGCATTGCTTAATTTGTCAGGATTAGCACAACACGGCTTCAGGTTGGGGCAAGACGTTTATTATCTCTGCTGATCCCCTTTCTGTTAAGTGCACTGTGTAATCACATCTCACTACGAAGCAGAACGAGGCGTTCTGAGCCACAGGCCTACCAGCCTGACAACCACGGCACATCTTCCAGTGTGGTGGGCTGTCTCCAGGAACAGCAAATATCTCTAAGTGCCAAGTAAAATTCTACATCTGCAAGCGGGACGCCAGCAGCACGTCCCATTTGAAAGGACTCACTATGGCCCAAGCACAAACTCCCTCCACCCTGGCCGGAAAGGACTCATTATCTGATGAGGAATTATATGCAAGGTGTCTCAATACAACTGGAGCAGCGGCTTGGTCAACTCCCAACCCTTTTCTTTACTTTTTGGCATACTGCAGAAATGGAAGAATCACAGAATCATTAAAGTTGGAAAAGACCTGCAAGACCATCAAGTCCAACCTTTGACTGACCACCACTTTGTCAACTAGACCATGGCACTAAATGCCATGTCCAGTCATTTCTTGAATGCTTCCAGGGATGGTGACTCCACCACTTCCCTGGGCAGCCCACTCCTGTGCTTGACAACCCTTTCAGTGAAGGGTGAAAAGGGTGACAGCCCTTTCAAATGGGTGAAAAGTAATCTTCCAAGTTATGTTGGCAAAAAGGTTCATTAAACTATCAAGCTTTTAAGTTGTAAGTATTTCTGTGAGGAACTAGTGGATTGAATAAAATGGAAGTTTCATCTATTTAGGAATCTTCCACGTCTTTTTCTATTATGCTTAGGGAACCTAAACATAAGAGGGCACTCCACTAGTAAAAGGCATTACTGATAATGGGATGAAGACACAAAAACTTGTGCTGGTATTGGCCTCATATAACCCTCTGCTGACTTCCTCACTTGCCAGTGCTGCAAAAGAAGTTCTGCTAAATTAACTCTGAATTCAAAGATTCAGCCCTGCAATGTCTTTCACCTTGGCATGATATCAGAGTGAAACCAAACTGCCCCTGCAGTTCCTCACACAGAGCAGCTAAACAGCTTTGTAAAATACTGTATTTTTTTTCACACTCCAATTAAGATAGTATTTTCATTTATTTGAATATTGTGAAATGAAAAAGTGTTCGATTAAATTCTTAAAGGCCTGAAACAGCAGAACAGAGCAACACATCTGATAACACTATCTACTTGACTTTCTAATAAGCAGTTGGTACAAATTGATTCTGCATTCAGACTTTGCAGTAATGGTAATTTGAGGGTGAATTGCTCCTGGTAGACCAGACCATGCCAGACTAGGACTATGCCTCCTCCTTAGAAGGTACAGACACAGAGTAAGCAAATCTCACCTCAGAAAAATGAACTAGCAGCTTGCTTAACCACCAATTTACTTCAATGCTTTTATCAAGCTTATAAAAGGGGCTGTTTTGTTGTTGTTTTGTGTTTTTTTTTCCAAATATAAGTTAGAATATGCAAAAATCATTAGCCTTTCATTCCCAATTTCTTTGTATTTCCCTCACAAAAGGAATGTCAAACATGGTGTAAATTTAGTATTGTGCTCAGTTCCTGTGTATTTCCTGGTACTGTATTTGAATAATCACATCTATAAACAAAAGCTAATATTATCATAGGATAAAAAGATAGTCCAGGTTGGAAAGTACCTCAGGAGGTCATCTAGTCCAATTGCTACCCAAAGCAGAGTCATCAATCACTCATTAGTTTACCTTGGGTAACTAGGGTAAATGAATGTCATAAGCTGGGTGGCCAAATCATACAGAAAACAACACTTGAAGCATCATTTAGGCTAACTCTTGTCTTATTTCAGTGAGATGACCAAATACAAACAATACATGCTGCAATGGAAGTACAATGTTTTGTGCCCATGTATAGTCCCTCTCTCCTTCTTATATATTCAAAGTTAATCCCTAGCAGTTCCCTGAGTTTCTAAAAATATCTTGCACCAGATAACAGATAGCATTACCCACATTTTCCCGACATCAAGAAGTTCACTTCAAACACATCCAGTCTCAGAAAAACAGACACATGTAATCAACAGAGTGGAGTGTGTTCAACTTCACACACCAGACACCAAACACAGGTTCATAATGCATTTGTCTGAAAACCACTAAAAACGAGTATCCAAAAGCAGTTCCATCTTCATGATGCCTTCTGTTTCCCATAACAGGCACTGTGAAACCTAGCTTGGACAAGGCGGGGCCTTGGTTTTTAAGGATTTCACAAAACATAACTCCTATGTATGTGTAAGAACAAAGAGGGGAGATATAGCTTTCAATTTTGCCAGTTGCATCTCAGCACTACCCCTAGTATCTGCTCATACAAAAAAAAAAGAAGTGTCTTCAAAAAGCTCTGACAAGTGTAGGACTCATTTTTAAACAGTAAAAGCAGGTATGTAAGCAAGCAACTATGGTTACTGAACTTGAGCTCCTCCCATCTAGAGTTGTTTCACAATTCCCATTAATTATGTTATTTTTTAAAGTTTTTGACACTCTGTGGCATTCCAAGAAGTCAAACCAAGACTCTCACTTCCCTTGCCATAATGCAACTCCAGAAAGTTAGTAAATTGCAAGATACACAACAGCTCAGCAGAAAGTAACTATGGCAACACTCTCTTTTGGACAGAATCTACATCATATCCTGGTTTTACTGAGTTAATCATTTCCCTCTTGTCACCTGGACTCTACTTTCTTAACACGAAACCTATTATCATACCAACTGATTCATATGACAGTGATTCGTAACGATAAAAATTAATAAATCAGAATCAAGCCTGAATTTGCCAAAGGACTCTTACACTAAGTCTTTCAAAAGACTTATGTTCTTCTGAAATTCAGAAGGTCTGATCCCTGTGCCACAGAATGGGGAAACAAAGATACCGTTAATGTGAAGATAAGCAAAAGTACTTTCCCTCATGGTTAGTAAGGAAACACATTTAGTCCCCAAAATAAAATTGTTGTAGACATTTTCAGACATGCCAGCTAAAACTAAAACCCCTCCTAACTTTTTGATCGTTGAAAGAAATATAAACAGGAAAAAAAAAATGTTTTTCTCCCCTTTATAGTTGCATAGTTAGGCAGTTGTATATTGACAATTCAACAGTAAAAGGATAGGTGACTTAACTCACAAAAGTATATCATTATGTGAAGTACAGGCTCTGAAGGATTTTTTTTTATCACACTACTTAGAGAAAATCACTGTATGGCCTCTTCAAATAAAAAGTATTTTCATTTAGTTCCAGCAGAAAGACTTTTAGGGCAGTTGTTCAAACCCATCTCTTACCATAACTTCAGGAATCACCACAGCATTCAGAGGCTTGTCATTGATAACAGTATCTTTAACTAGCATATATATTCTTTCAGCTTCAGAAAAACATGAAATTTGGAGTACAACAGCACCTGTAAAGAGGCATCAGAACTAATTTTTATATTTTCTATTATTATTGGAAATAGGTCTCATATATTACAGCAAAACTTCACTCAGTTTACTCAGAACATCATTTAGCAAAAGTTACTCTGTGGTTGTTTGTTATCAGTGAATTGGGCTGTTCTGTTTCTAAAGCTTTCTTCATAGCCCCAAAACACACCTCAGATTTTTGTTAAAGTAAAATAGTTTGAAGACAAGCAAGAAATGAAGACAGCACAGAACTGATGCATATTTAAAGACTTCCTTTGAGCTTCAGAGGTAGGGCATATTTCTATACCCTACCACAACTAATATGCTTTTCTCATCATGTACAAGTGACAAAGCTATCAGGTTTTGTTTTGTATCTCATTATTAAAAATCCATTAGTTCCATTCATTAACAGTATCTCTGTAAGAATTACTGCAAGGAAAGATTTGGTTTGAGAATCAGTTTTAGATCTTTATGTTGGCTTAGGTCCTGTATGAGGAAATTGGGGAAGAAGGGTAGACAAAAGAGAAAGATAAAATAAAATTAAAATAAAATAAACTTAAGTTCAAGTGAGATACTTAATGGGCAAGAAAATGGGGCAGGATAAGATCACAGTGCATAAAAGCCAGCATATGAGATGTAAACTGGTAACACAACCTGGGTGCAATGAAAAGGGAAAGTCAGGAAGTTATGAGAAACACAAAAATACAAATGAAAGAAAGTGACAATAAAAATCACATACAAACAAACATCTAAAAAACCCGTGCACGTAAATTTGGTTCAATGAAGCTGTGACATGAGAAGAGCATTGCAAATCCAACTATTCTCCATTAAGAAATATGAAAAGGAGAAGGCACATCTTTAAAATTTTTGTTATGAAAAGTATTAATTAGCCACATGGAGACAGCAAATACACAAAGGAAGCACACATCAGTCTTCAAAACCATATAGAAGGATCCATTTAGCAGACATGTGAAAGTTAAGCCTGCCAAAGGATGTGTAACATCTCAGATATAGATGCCTAAACACACAAAAGAGAAAATTCCACACTTCTGAGTTTTACCAAATGCAGATCTCCACCTGACCACTGCACTAAAGCTGCTCAGAGCCACTGCTGCTCCAGCTCTCAGAAGCCAGACGGCTTCTCCGACCTTGCTGAAATAAAATTTGTACAGCAAAAGCTCAAAGGATGAACAGAGATGAACGTATTTATTTCCTACAACCTCCAGCTAGCTATTAACACTCTGCTAGAAAACAGTGACTGTGAAACAATCCCATTGAGTCCAAAAGCACTACCAAATTTTAGTATTTTAGAAGTCAAAATAAAGAGAGAGCTGTTGAAGGGTTTTCATCAGTTCTGTGGTGTTAGATTATTCAGTTGAAGTGCAATTTCAAAACTAATTTTTATGATGAAATATTACCACCTTCTGGTACCCGAGGCATGAAGCCAACCTTTTAACTTTGTTTAATAAGGTAACACTAATCCACTGCTCTTCATAATTACAATGTGTTACATTTTACCTGAAGGGCTTTTTGCTTATGCAGTAGAACTAACATACTCTGAGCTTCCAACCTCTAGTATTAGGCTGCAGTTTTGAAAACAGACATAGTTTGTAAGACTAAAAATCTTAATGCTTACCTTGTGCTTGATAAACATGACTCACAGATACTACATTTGCTGCAAAGGGTAAAAATATAAACACATAAAACCTTGGGTACATTTAGAGTAAATATTTAAAGTATTTTTAAAAGTTACATGAATACAATATAAATAAATATTAAAAGTTATACAAATATAGGGAGAATCTCCAGCTAACATTTTCCCTCTCCTAAGTTTACTTTGCAAGTAAGAAAAGCTGAACTGATTTTCATAAAAGGCAACTATGAATTCTTTCTAGCATTTCAAGTTTAATTCCTCTTGAAGTTACAGAAAGAATTGGGAAAAATGCTTCATTTCCTGAAACAAAAATCATGATGCATTCCTGACACTGTTTATAGAAAGCATTGGTTGAAGGACTATTATGAAAAATCAATTACACTTCTTTGAAAAAGAAAAATAAATTATTTTCTCTGAGTGGTTGTCCATACGTGTGTACACACAGTGCTCACACTTCTCCATGACCAGTCACAAAGACCGTGAATAACATGGAGAACAACCCACGCAAAAAGTGTCAGAGGTTAATCAAGGCAAGGGACATTCATGTGCAGGGAATTAAACTGCACTGGCATAATTTGAATGGTTTAAGGTACGTACAGTTCTTTCAAAGAGTGATGCTTTTTCACTCAAAAAAAAAAAAAATGTGGTCACAAATCAAGTAATGTAATAATAATTCTGTGAATAATGAGCTGTCAGGTTTCTCATGTAATCATGAGCATTTTAAAATGAATAAAAAAGCCCCCACGAGATTTCGAGGCAGAATTAAATAAGGTCAGAAGAGGTAAAAAAAAAAAAAAAAAGGAGCAATAGATGCTACATTTTATTCTGTCCAACTTGAAGTATCTGAAAATGCACTTGTTTACTTACTTTTGATAGCTAATTCTTCCTTGAGAATATTTGTGTATTCTTCAGGAGAAAGCTGAGGTGGAAGGCCACCAACAAATAAATTTACTTGTGCAACGGATTTACTGTTTTCCACAATGTAAAATCTTGTTTGATTCATCTGACGTATTGAAGTCTACCAAAATAAAGGAAAATAAATGACGTGACATTTGGCAAGAGGATACTGTGAAATAAAATCCAAAACAGTTCTGCACTTAGCAATTGCATCCTCTGTGCCTAAAGAATATCACAAACAGAAGCAAACCTCAAGATCTCAGCTTCTCTACAGATGAACCAGCGGGGGGGGTAACGGATCACACAGTTTTTCTGTAAGAAAGGGGACTCTCTACAAAACAAAGGGATCGGGTTTTTTATTTTATTTTCAGATTTACCTTTCTTATGTCCTTGAATCTGTTAAGAATCAGTTCCTGATTGTCCAAAACCATGCGTTGAACTGGAGACAGTAAGAACATTGATGATGTTAGAAAGCAATGTAAATTATTATCAGGCTCAATTAAACAGAAAAAATAAAAAAAAAAAGAAAAAAAAACACTAGGGAAAAAGTACAACTGCACATACAACTAACTTCAACAAAAAAGACCATGGTGACCTGAACGACTCATTATTCAACAGAAAAAACACTTTGGTGCTTGGAACAGTTTCTGACTTTTTTCCCAGTTCCTGAACACCACCCTCCTTTAAAGAAAGGCAGAAACAGTCTGGACCCACTCAAAAGACAAGCAGTACTTTGGTAACAATCTAACTGTTTGACAGAGGATCTTAAAACTATATTCCCTAACAGCCATATTAATAACCTACTTCTGTGTTTTATCAAAATACTAAAAGACTTCTAACAACTTCCAGTTAAAGTAAGGTTGCAAATGATACTTTAAAATAGAGAACCAGAAACCAATCAATGTTAAGACATTCACAAGGCTACAGTGACCTTATAAAACAACTTGCTGATAATGCTCACACATAAAGCAAAGTCTTGAGCCAGTTTTTGAACTACAAAGGTATATGCTCAGCTATGGTCAGATATCAGACTACTTCTATGGCTTTATTTATCTCACTATGCAGCCCTAAGAATACTGAAGCACTAAGCGATATGAACTTGGAGAACACCAGTTTAGCTCCTGCGGGATCACAAAACACTTGACCAATGCCAGGACTGCAGATTTCTGTACTTTCTAACACGAACATATATTACTTGGACTATCTATGGACTATCTTAGGACTTAAACTTACTCTTTTTTGGGAGCTGTGTCAGGGGAAAGAAGAGAGAGAGAGGGAAGGAGTAATTTGAACTTTAGAATTAATCTTTAATAAATAACTGCAGTTAAGAAAATTATGTCAGTTGAACACAGCTCCCCAAAACAGGGCCAAAATGCCAATACCCACCAGAAACCACAAGTAAATCTTTATGTGAGAACGAAGAAAGAGAAGGGAACCTTATTCTCAAAGGACATACAGGACTGAGGAGGACCAGCATAACTTCTGATTAAGTATTTCAACATCACCGTGAAGTTTCATTTGTGTTTTTTTACTGTAAAAAATGAACTACAACTGTGTTGGAATGGGAAACACCCCCCCCACACGAAAATCAGTTATAGATGTGGCTTTGACTAATTCTCCTTCACTTACCTTGCTTACTGCCCATAAGCACCTCTACCAACTTGAAATTCTGGAGGCACTCCGTCTGCCAAAAGATGCAACATGTAAATGCAGTTTCTGAACAACAAAATTTTACCAGATGTTTACTTTATTGTGTTATACAGCGTACAGAGCATGAAAATCAAATATTTTTAAATCAGTCATGACGTTCTTCCTTTAACCAACTGCTTCTGCGTCAGGAATAATCTTTATTTTACACACTCACGGCACCAGGCTCCCACGCTCTCACACACTGGCATCCTCGCAGCCGCATTATGAAGTGGCCCCTGTATAGCACAGTTAATTCCATTCCTGATCAGCAGCTCATCTAGGGCATTGCCTGAGCACCCTTCCAGAGACAGCATGCAGCACTGGGAATGAACCTGCTCTTTGAGAACAGGGCCCAGGATCCAGGCTTGGCAAAAGCAGCTGAGCACTCCCCATCGCCTGGGACGCTCCACAGGCACTGACCTCTTACATGAGCCACAGTCTCTTCTCCAAGCTACTGCCAGGGACCACTCAAGTCCCTCGCAGCTGGACCAGAAGAGTTGGCCTAGCCAGAAGTTGAACCATTTACTACAATTTATTACGTTTACTACAACCCTGAGATCATGTGACACTGAGGATCGAAGATGTGCCTTAGCGTGTGTGGCCTTGAGACTCAAGAGACAAATCTTACTTTACATGTCATGAAGGGGGGTGTTAAGAGCCTGAACTTCCTGCATGTGCTTTGCCTGATATTTGATGAAAGTGACTTGGAGAGGATCTTCAGCATGGGCAAATTCTGGATGTTAAAAAGAGATTTCCTGTATGTGCATCTTTTCACAAGGAAATGAGAAGAGCCTTTAAAAATGATCACTATTGGAGAAATCGTAATTGTGCCTAAGAACTGAGTCTCTTACAGCATACAGCTAGCTTCCCAAACACAGAGATGTGAAGACCTTTCCCAAACAGAGTATCCAGCTATACTGTTTGACAGTTGCTTTTTTCAGGTGAGATAAAATTTTGGAGACTGTTGTTCAAATTTTTATTAAAAGGTCCACAGCCTTTGAGGAAACAGACTGTCAACAAATCCTAGAACCATCCTACGGTGCAAATAAAGCTGCATGCATTGCACAGCTACGTACACCTAGACAGAGATCTACAGTTATCACCTACTGCAGATAGATAGCCACATGCATGTTTCTAGTACCCTGTAAATAATCACAGAAGGCAGAAGTCACTCTCTGTGAAGCATGGCTGTTCCCTGGAGCAGCAGAGGTATGTTGATCTGCTGGTGTGCTGACAAGCCCCAACTACTGAATGAAATGTCCATGCTACAGCTTTGTGTCTCCATTCTACTAAAATGTTTCCTGAAAGTCATGCTATTTTGGCACCAACTGTAAGAAGGACAGGCAGACTGAAAAGAGACCATCTGCTGATGAAAACATGCATCTACAAAAATACAAGATGTATTTAATAATTTCCAAAAGAATATGGTTTTGTTTCAGCCCTGAGTCCTTCCTTGCAGTCCTTGAGGACTAGAGGTGCTGCTTGCCACTGAAGGGGGAAAATTTGTGCAGCCAAAGCTCAACTGGAGTTCAAGTTGGCCACCATTGTGAAAGACAACAATAAGGGATTTTTAAAATGTGTCAACGGCAAAAGTAAGATCAGAGATAATATTGATCCATTGCTTCATGAGGTCGGTCACCTCAAAAATAGGGATGTAGACAAAGTGGAGACATTCAATGCCTTCTTCACTTCTGTCTTCAACACCGGTGATGAGCTCTGGGACTCCCAGCCAGCCCTGAACTTGTTTGAGACTTGCTGCTCCAGCCCAGTGCACATGAATCGATAGGGTCCAAGGGAATTCATCCAGGCTACTGAAAGACCAGGCCAGTGTCACCGTGGGACCTCTCTCCATTGTCTTTCAATGGTCTAGGGAGTCTGGAAAGGTCCCAGCCAATGGGAAGATGCTATTCCACTACTCAAGAAAGGCAAAAAAGGAAGACCTGTCAATCTCTTTCAGTGCCTGGTAAAATCATGGAGATGGTTATTCTGGGGAGTATTTGAAAAATACTGGAGAGATAATGAAGTCATCAGTCACAGTCAGCACGGGTTCGTGAGGGGAAGGCCGTTTGACAAATTTAATTTCCTTTTATGACAAGGTCACCTACCTAGCTGATCAAGGGAAGCCAGTGAATGTGGTGGGCAAAGCCTTTGATACCATCCCTCACAATATCCTTCTGGATAACCTGTCCAGAACAGAGCTAGACAAGTCCACACTACATTGGGTGAACAATTTGCTAACGGGTTAGGCTCAGAGGGTTAGAGTATGTGGGGTTACATCAGACTGGCAGCCAGTCACCCATGTGGTTTCCCAGGGCTCAGTTGTAGGACCTGTACTCTTTCATGTTTATATAAATTGTCTGGATACAGGAATGAAATGCACAGTGAGTCTGCTGATGACACTAAGTTGGGAGGAGCTGTGGGCTCCCTTGAGGATAGGGGACCCTTACAGGGAGATCTGGATAGGCTAGAGAGCTGGGCAATCCCCAGCCATATGAAATTTAACAAGAACAACTTGCCAGATCCCCCCAGGATGGCGTAAGCAATCCTGGTTAAAAACACAACCTTGGTGAGGAGAGCTGGAGAGCAGCTCTGCAGAAAGATATCGTGGATGGGGTTGATGGCAAGTTGAATATGAGTCAGCAGTGCCCTGGCAGCCAGGAGGGCCAGTTGTGTCCTGGGAGACAACAGCATCACCAGCCAGTCGAGGGAAGAGACTGTCCTGTGCTCTGCAGTGGGGCAGCCCCACCTCAAGTACAGTGTGCAGTTTTGGGTGCCTCAATGTAAGAAGGACATCAAACCATTTGAGTGTGTCCAGAGCAGGGCGACCAACAGGACTTAGGAAGAATGCTCTACGGACACTTGACTTGTTCACCTTGGAGAAAAAGAAGCTGAGGGGTGACCTCATCACAATTACCAGCTTCCTCCAGTGGGGCAGTGAAGGGAGAGGTGCTGATCTCCTCTCTCTGGTGACCAGCGATAGGACTCAAAGAAAGAGAACAAAGCTACGTCAAGGGAAGTTCTAACTAGACATTAGGAAAAGGTTCTTCACTGAGAGGAAGGCCAATCACTGGAACAAGATCCCCAGTAAAGTGTTCACAGCACCAAGTCTGTGAGAATTCGAGGAACATTTGAACAATGCTGTTAGTCGTACCCTTTGGTTTTAGGCAGCCCTGCAAGGAGCAAGGAGCTGGCCTCAGTAATCCTTATGGGTCCTTTCCAACTTGAGATGTTCTGTGATTCTATGATTTCCTTTGCAGAGCAGCACAAAGAATTAGGAGGACAAGTATGATCATCCTATCAGGGACTGCCAGTTTCCTAACAAGGTAAGATTAGAAGTGTAGAATCGTTGTGTTCATAAAAGAGCATCTCCTTGACCTAGAAACCTTCCAGTACAGAGGAACCGTGCCTACCAGGAAGAATGCAGAAAGCTTTGAGCAGCGTGCCAGTCACACGAGATCATCTGACACCCTAAAATCATGTACATAAACTGCAAACGAAGGAGTTACAATTCTTCTGAAGAGAAAAATATGTACACCCCACTTCAGGCTCACTCAGGTGGTACATGGACAGGCTTGGGATCTTTGAGTTACCTGCCTTCCAAGTAAGGGAAGCACTTCTTTGATCACAGTCTGCGCAGTGCTATCCTTATTTACTCGTAGAGATACGTATGCCATTCCCACCCTAAGAGAAAAAAAAAACCTTATTTTACGATAATCATTTGACTTATCCTGTGTGTACCTTTTTTACCTAAGTGTCAAAATTGCATAAGTTGAAAAAAGTTGCTCACTGAGCCTCATGGCAAATGCAGTATCAGTGTCACAGACTTTCATCTCAAGGAACTGTTAACTACAATTGTACCACTGTAAATTAGTTTCCTCTTATACACAAAATTACCTTCAAGTCTTTCATAAAATTTGGCAGCGCAGTTGCAACAGCAAACTGAACAAATGGTTAAATCTGATTGATCCCACAGCGCTTCAGAAATGGAAAGGTCACCAGACCGTTTTGTTTTCACTGCTAAATATGCTTAAAATTTATACTGTCTCAGTGGCAAATGGAACAGCTTATTTTTTATTTTATTTTTTTCCTCCTAATCTCACATGGGAACTTACACTGTAGTTCATCCAACTTCATATTTCTTTGAAAATATCCATCAATTTTTCAAGCGACACGTGCACGTCATCATTTGTTTACAGATACAGTTAATGTGAAGTTGCATCTTCCTGACCAAACACATGAAAATAGAACTGCAGAAGTTGTACAGTATGTTCCATGCGCGTAAAGAAACCCAAGAGTCATCGAAATGAATAATATGCACATTACTCATTCAGAGAAATGAAAAGAAGAATCCTGAAACACAGAAAAGGAAACTACATTCTCTGCTCTGCTTCTGCAGCTTCAGAAACTGAAGATAACTGAAACAGGGCTAGACTACAGCAGACAAATGTAGCCAAGCAGGATAACCTTGTGATCAAGCAGGAAAATACTCACTTTAGCCAGGCAGGATAAATTCTGATCACTTCCTCGTCCTTTGGTTTGGCTCTGATGATCCAAGCTTCAGGAATGGATTCTCGGAATACTGAGCCCAAGTTGCTGTCCTCTGCAGCATCGTTCCTGTTGATAACATCATCAGAGAGCAGCACCTGCTGCGTGAAGGTCTGCAACTCGTACTCCTGCTGGTCATCATTTATATAGTACGCCCTCAAAGCAGCCTCCTAAAACACAGCAAGATAAATTAACATTTACTTGAAAAGACATCATTAAGACCTGTGTAGCCACAGACTTTTATAAATACTTTATTTATGAAATGGACCTCTAGTGCATGCTTTAAGCCCAGAGCTGTAGATAAACAGCAATGGCCAAAGAACAAAACAAGAGTGAAGTTTTGAAAACAAATTTTAGTGAACATGAAAAAAAGAAAACTTGAGATATCAACGGATTTGAACACAGTCCACAGTATTTTTGGCAAATGACAGTGATTTTAAACCCAGATATAATAGTTCAGCACCAATAAAGCTACACTTGCTGCATGCAAGATTTACTGCATAATGAAAATGGTAAATTACATTTGATTGTGCCCAACTCTGCCTATTCAATTTTTCTGCACTAAGGGGATATAGAAAATTAGTGAATATCTCATCCACAAGGCTATCCTGAAAAAACACACCTCTGAAGACGAAAGGTAAGATCTGCCCTTGAAAGATGCATGCAGTCACAGGAATTTTACATCCATGCCCATGCCTGCAGCACCTCTGCTGACACAGATGCTGCAGTAAATACAGCCCAGTAACTCACTTATGAGAACTGGTATTAAAAACAGTTGCCTGATAAAATGTGCTTGAAAGGCAAGTAGCACTCCCAAATGAAACTGTTTTCAGCCCTCTACACAGTTTTCCTTAAAGGTCTTAAACATGCATAACACTATAATCCATTTTGAAAACTCCTCTTGATTTTCAGCACAGTATCAAGATAAAAATCCTAATGGGCTTTAGTTTTAAATTGTCAAAATTCTGATGTAATAAATTCTCCAGACTCCTCTGCCAAGTCCTTTACGACTTTGAGCCCTCTCCTGTGCACCACCCCGTTCCCTCCCCAGGCTTTATTTCTGCACAGCGTGGGGTCTCTGCCTAGTCCAGTAAATTAAGATCTGTATAGTACACCTGATTTAGTACTGAATATTTCTTCCACCCCAGATAGAGTAGTGGAAAAGCTAGGAAGTGGCCAGTATGTGATCAGTAATTCATTAGTTTCACAGCCAAGGAGCAGAGATAACTATAGTATGTTTCAGTGTTCAAAGCTGATTAACTCATGTGCAATATTGGTGGCTGTTCCGGATAAACATCAAAACACTAAATACTGTACAGTAAAGATGCAAGATCCAAGGAGGGGGTTATCCAATATTGCTCACATCAGTAATATCAGACTTCAGAGCCCCACAGGAAAGGAGAATGACTGCTAAAATGTAATATACTGTGGTCCCCATTATACTAGAGATATGTAAGCCACCATTTCTTTGGATGCTCTAAAATAAGGGCACTACATGAAGATGTCAATTACACTGTAACAATATAGGCCATTTACATATGTTGTTGATTTTGAGTTAGATTTGTAAAACTGTTACCTTCTGACTGTTGTAACATGTAATCATATGCCCCCTTATTACATTGAAATATTGACCTTCGCTGGGTATCTTACCACAACTTCTTCATTTTTTGCAATCCTTGGAACTGAAATCAGTCGAAATTGATTGCGTTTCACTGCATCATTCCCGTCAAATATCTTTAATGTTTGTTTACCTGAATGGAAACAATTACTGTATTTCAATAACACACCCTCAAATCATAAAGCTACCTCAATAGGAAGGGTATAATGGAACTACTAAAAACCTGCTTTTAACCCACTGAAATGTTTCTTCTTGACAAGTTTTGAGGTTGAATATTTTCATTTTTATTTTGTTACTGTTCATTTAAAACACGAGTACATTAGCAGAGGAAAGAGTACTTCAAGTAATCATAGTTTTATCCTGGCTTTTGCTATAAGTGCTTACATATAACTATACTGTTTATGTTTCCGCTTCTTCATCCTCACCATTCAAGACTGCATTTATAACTGATCAGTTGAAAAACTTGAAGACCAAGACACAGTGCCATCCACTTCAGAACAGCTCCCAAAGCACTGACAGTTCTGAGAGCATGCTTCTGAAAAAAAAAGTCTTTAAAATAGCTGGTTAAGTGTATAGGTAACAGGAGAAAACACAGGGACAAAAGAAAATCTAGAAGAAAGAAGGTACAGCAAATGAAGAAGTTCAACCCTTTGCTGTCTTTCACTTCACTGAAGCTTTATCAAGTCCATGCTCAAGCCGTCGAGCACAGGCTGTTGCACAGACATCTCTGAAAGAGTGAAGAGTGAAGGATTTCAGGTTCACCTTTCACAAAGATGAGTTATGACTCAGTCAGGTACAGTCAGTTGTATGACAAAGTCTCTCTCTTACTTAAGTGACTATTTTAAGAGCAATAGCAATTTGCCATCAAATTTTCAAAGCACAGGCAGCTTCTGAGAGGCTTTAGGAACAAATGAATACTACTAGTCCACTACATGTGTCCTTACCACCTGCCTGTGGAAATGAAATCAAGTTAATCAACCCAGATCAAAAAGGAGATTCTATTCTAAGCTGCTCAGTTTTGCTGGTTCTTTGCAGGTTTCTCTTCCCAGAGAGCTTGTGCTTTACAGCAGACATGACTGTTCTTCACTGATAGAATCTGCCCTTCTTATTGCACTGTTGGACTGAACTGTTAACAAGTCACTCTTTGGGTATATAGCACAGTGTTACAGACTCCGATCTCGCCATAAATCTGCACACCCACATTCATCACATAGTAATAAAATCGCTAGAAGATACCACTTGCAGCCTTGAGATGTTAGAAATATTAAGTGAAAGCCTCATACACCAGCTGCAGTGCCCACATGATGGGTTAATCACGCAGTCCGTTAACACTGTAAAGGAGATCCATTACATGCTGGAGTCTACTTTCTCACAGCTTGGAAATACTTCGTAGTACAGAATAAAATACTTTTTCTCTCAAATCATATCAGCATTTAGGTTCAATGGAACACATGATCCAACTACCATTTGCCATAGAGGGATTAAAAAGGAGAGCTGCAACTGGCGGAACAAAACCACCAAACCACTACGTAGACTCGTTCACTTCCTGAAGCCTTTCTTCATTGACAATTCCACTGGGCCTGGCACAATCTGTGTATGAGGATGTTCTCATTAGGTAACAAAGACCCCACTGCACAGCAAAGTAGTCACCAGCACAACCTCTCATCCTCCAAAGTCTTCTTTGTCTCTCCTGGGACAAAACTGGCCAGGTTGATTGGTCTAGTGAAAGACATCCCTCATTACAGTAGGGGTGTTGGAACTAGATGAACTTTAAGGTCTCCTTTCAAACCAAACCACTCTATGACTCTACTGTGATATTCAAAACCTTACTGAACATGACAAACTGCTCTGATTTGCCCTGCTTGAGCAACCTCCAACCTCAGCCATGCTGTGACTCTTTGAAGGAAAGCCTGTACAACAGATGCATGCACAAAGAAAAATAGACAAAATCAGAATAAATAAAATTATAGAATCATAAAATATCTTGGTTTGGAAGGGGCCTTCAAGCATCATCTAGTACATACACTCTGACATGGACAAGGACATCTTTCACCAGATCACATCGCTCAGAGCCCCATCCCACCTGACCATAAACACTTCCAGGGATGGGGCACCCACAGCTTCTCTCAGTAACCTGTGCCTGTCTCACTACCCTTATAACAAAAAATTTCTTTCTTATGTTCAATCTAAATCTACCATCTTTTACTTTTGAATGGTTGCCCCTTGCCTTGTCCCTTTTACCAGTACAGGCCCTGGTAAAAAAAATCTCTATACATCTTTCTTATAAGCCCCCCTTAAGTACTGACAGGCTGCAATGAGGTGCCCCTAGAGCCTTCCCTTCTCCAGGCTGAACCATGCTAATTCTCTCAGCCTCTCTTTAGCTCTTAGACGGGATGTTCCATCCCTCTGATGATCTTGGTGGTCTTCTCTGGACTCGCTCTGACAGGTCAATGTCCCTCCTGTGCAGAGCTGGATGCAGTGTTCTAGGTGGGGTCCCATTCCTTGTCCTGCTAGCCATGCTGCTTTTGATGCAGCCCTGGATGCAGTTGGCTTCTTGGGCTGCAAGTGCACATTGTTGAGTGGTGTTCACTCCCAAGTCCTTCTTGATCCCTTCATCCCCCCCTGACACTGGGGGCTGCCCCAGCCCTGGTGCAGCACCTTGCAGTTGTCCCAATGAGGTTTGCATGTGGGCCCACTCCTCAAACCTGTCAAGGTCCCTCTGTATGGCATCCCTTCCCTCTAGTGCACCTGCACCACTCAGCTTGGTGTCATACACAAACTTATTGAGGGGGCACTCAATCCCACTGTTTGTCATATATTAAACAGTCAGATGTATCTGACTATTTGTCAGATATTAAACAGTCTGCTCCCAGTATGGGCCCTTGAGGGACACCTGGACATTGATATGAAAGCATAAAGGGTTTAAGCAGGAAGGCAAACAGCTAAATCCTACATGAAAGCCAAGCAGAAGGAGGAAAAAAATTCCTGTCTTTCTACACAGTATCTACAACACAACAGATCTTTGGTCTTCTGGTTTTGCAGGTTTACTTCTGGTCCCTGTCAAGAAGAATGACCTTTGGAAGCACAGCTCTGATTTCCTCTTTCCAATATTCCCTCAGTAGTATTTTGAGAGTAGTTACCTGAAAATTTTTGTGTCTGTTTAAGGAAAATAATGACACAATTTCCATGTGCAATGTACACTCTTTACAGCAATGGAAGTGAATAATGCTACTGGATAGGTGAATTTGGGGTGACTTTTCAAGTATTTTTGTTAATATGAAAAGTAGTATTACGAGGTGGGCAGCCCCTGGTGGTCTAGGGGTAAAGGCGCCGCGCTATCACCGCGGAGACCCGGGTTCGATTCCCGGTCAGGGCCACTCCCGGGCAGGTGGGGCTCGTTAGCCCTTAAAGGCAACCCACCTACGTCCTAAGGACCTCGCTGCCACCGTCCAAGCTCGCTTGGCCCCGGCAGATGAACCTTAGGATTAAAGGGTGGGCTCAGTTCCGCGCACACTGTGTCTCACCTAAAAAATCCAATGCGCAGGCTGGAAGGTGGAAAGACCTTCCCCGGATCTTCGCTCGCGAAGACTGGCCATTATTACGAGGTGAATTTGGATTTTCAGTTCTCGAATTATCTATGCAGTGGTTGCATCTGTTGTCAAATTCTTTTTAGTCACAACATAAGGAAGATTTAAATATCATTCACTTTTACTTCTACAGTACCCTTGAAACTATTGCCATTCCATTTAGACTACAGCATGCATCAGAAGATCCACCCCTCTAAACCCTGCTGGATTTACGCCAGACAAAGTGAAAACCCTTTAGAAACAGATTTCTGTCAGAGTGATCACCATGGTAACTGTAGCATAGACAAACTTTAACAAAAAGACACACTGTGTCCTGTGTGACCTTCTTTAGCGCTAATACAACTTATAAAAACACAGCAAACACTGGTTACTGACAGCAGAGCTGATGTTCTGAGTACGGACTTTAATAACATTATCAAAATCTCCACTGTTATCTGTAGCAATCCAGTGGGTAGACAACCATCTGAGAATAAAAACATTCATCCAAGTCCTAGTACATGTTTTCATTTGAAGTGCCTTTGTAGTCTGCTCTTATGACATACTAGCTGGCATGAGAGAATCCCCAGCAATTTTAACTGGAGAATTTTTTATGAGCTCTCCGTGTCTTAAGGCCAGTCAAATGGTTCAAAAAGCTGGCTTGACTCTTATATATAAAACTGGTTTACAAGGAGAAGTTTAGATCTACAGAGCAGTAGTAGTGTCCTAAGCTCAAGCATATTCCTTAGCTAAATACACATTTATGGTCAGCTCTGTTTCCTTAAGTTAATCTGGTATCCATCACACAGAACAAAAATTATGTTTAACTTTGTCACTGCCCTCCTCACAAGGGACACCTTTGCTGCAACCTGATGAAAGATGGCTTGCTTGCACACGAGCTTCTGGGAGCACATTAACAAAAAAATAAACAGCTAAATACTGCAAGTAGTCATCTAGAAAGACATTTCCCCACTGATTCAAGAGCACATTCAACACATGTTAAGTTAAGGGGTGTCTCTGGCCAGTCTGATTTGTCTAACCAGCCTTGGCAAGAAGCTCAACTACAACCCCTTCTAAAGTTAGATAAGGCTTTTTCTTCCACCTGTTCCAATTTTTAAATATTAAGAAATGATCCAATTACACAAATGAAGTCTGTACCTACTTAGCATATATATTAAAAATAACAAACCCGGGCTAATATGCAACAGATGTACATATCAAATTTTGGTATTTAAAGGCGTTACTGATGGTTTCACAAGGCTGACACTTCACTGGTAAGTATCTTAACTTTTCCTGTTGGATTAGACACAGTATCAGGACCTTCTCCTGAAAAACACATAACTTACTTTCTTACCATGGGATACTGAGCTGAAAATAACCTGTTATTCATGCTTATGCTTTTCAAGGGGAAAATAACTACAAAAGGTCAACCCCAGGCATAATTTACCAAATTATGGGATTTGATTTTGGAGGCTAAGATACCAAGTCTTCCTGGGAAAAGGATAAGCAACATTTGATGAGTCCAAAGTTCATGTTCCCTTTGACTTCCACATCTCCAGAGACTGGACATGGCTTCTGAAAAGACTCATATGTGGTTTGTGACTGAGATAGGAAAATGATGCTGTCCTGAATATTTTAGCCACTGAAGAAAGCTAGAGGTCTACACCAAACCTACTGGTGAAAATCACTCTTAAAAGACTAAATTGTAGCAACATAGCTTACCAAGAACCATTCTTCCTAACAAAACTTCTGTTATCTACATGCTTTCTGCTCTTCTTCTCTACTGCTGTTTCATATTACAACACTGTATATATATATATAAAACAAATTTTGCTGTATTTCAGTATGAGTATTCATAAGCTACAAGGCAGCAGTAAGCTTTGTAAGACCTGTGTATTTTTTCTCTTACTGGCCTTAAGACAATCTTTCAGAATCCTAGGTTCTTGCTTTCTCCAGCTCCTCATCTTCCAGGAGAGCTATTTGCAGGTGTGTCCCCTCTCTGAACTTGTTTTTGTGAGCAGCTCAAACTCCCCTATTTTCAAGACAATTTTGAAAAACAAATCTGCATTAACAGCCATCCTCCCACTCTGGTAGCCACTTCTTCACCCTTTTCCTCTTGGATTTTAGAGCTTCTCTAATCATCCGCCATATGTATCACCACTCTATCTGGTCTCATCAGCTTCAAATCCACTCAAACCATGTTTCAGAGAAAAATGTGACATGCTCAGTTATCTGTAAGCAGTTAGAGCAGAACACAGTGACCCTTCTTATGAAAGCTGAACATTTTCCTATTTATCTTAACGGGAAAATTCCCTCCCCAGTATGCCGTCTTTCCTTCTTCCAGAAAACAGTTTGTTCCTGCTCACAGGTCTACAGTGAAGGTCTCCTCCACACTGTCAGCAGGTTTGAGACAAGACATCAGCAAGCTCTAAGCCAGTGACTTGGGTCTAACAAAACCATTTTATCTTTCACTTGTCAGGGAAAAACTGAGGCTGTGGAAGGACATGCTGTGTTTGCTGACAACACTGCAGCCCCCATTTCTTCCCTCAAAGAGATTCCTCTAAAACCTCCTCCAGAATGGGTTTTCTCTGGATGGCTGAATTTTGTCCTGTGTAAGACAGACACTCACTGAATCAGACAGTTCACGTGGAGCCAGTGAGTGCTGAGAAACTCACAGGGCAGGGAGAGTCCTTTTCCAAACCTACTCCGACTGTCTATTAAATCTATGTTAATTTTGTGCCTTTGGTTTCAGTATCTTGGTAGGCTAAATTTCATGGTTGATTTAATGTACTTAAGCTCCCAAAATTAAGATTTAGATCTTTTAGCTTTACACTTCAGTCAACAAGCCTATTACAACAGCAAAGAAACAAAAGGGAATGTAGACCACTAATTCAAATCTTCCAGTATCAGTCTACAGTCTTTGCATCCTTTTCTACTGGTTTCTTTCCTATCGAAAAAGTGTGTCTTTACATCTCAATATTATTCAATTTCTTCTGACTTGTTTTTCACTATTTTTTAAAATGTGTACCCCTATAACATAAAAAAAGAGATGCATGTGAAAAGCATTCTGGCGTGGTATTAAGAGTTGTTAGGGGAAGTTTAGGAGAAGAACCAAAGGCAGGGGAAAGGAGAGATCAAAGTGGTTAGGGAAAGAAGCATGGGAAAATAGTGGGATAAGGAGATAAAGGAAGCAGGTCACATTTAAAGAGGCTGCTTGTTGGTACTGCATGGCCATGCCTTGCATCTTATCACCACAGTTTGTCCTGTCTTAGCATTAAATGCTATTTCTGTTTCTTTTTGTCAGTGTGGTTATTATTGGGCTTTCTAAATCATAGCAAAGTTATTGGCTGTATATTGTCTTATGTTTTGTGAAAATGCATTAAGGGGAAGCAATTTTTTTAATGTGACTGTTTTGTTTAAAACACAAGTAATGATACTTTAGATGAGCCTTGAAAACGTACCATCTACTGCTGCTTTCTCCAGACAGTGTATATGAACAAACGACATATTGAATTTTGTATCCTTCCCCAGATTTTCACATCTTTCCCCTTCTTTTGGGAAGGTTAAACTTAAGCTGAACTGGCCTGTAATAGTACTTTCAACCAATCCAGCTGAATATCTGAATACTTAATTTGCTCTCTTTGACAGTCAAAAGGGTAAATAGGCTTAGTTGTTGAAATGCCAGAGTCCTCACACTCAACCACTTAAGTCACTCAAAACACTGGAAAAAGTGAAAGTTTCTTAGACAACCTGCAGTTAGTCAGGGCCTTTTCCCACAATAAGGAAGCATGGTGGTGAATCATAACTTAGAATCATTAAGAGACACCAGCCTCAAATTTTAAAAAGGGAACTAAGACGATGCTTGAGATCACTTCCATAACTGAGTTATTTACCAAGCTGTTTTGCATGATTAACCTCCTAATTTTGTAAGAACTTTAGGAATAAAAGAAATAAACTAGTATTTATTGATTTGAAATTTCCTTTTTTACAACAATCCATGCAGCTACATTAGGTAGCAAGTACCATGTTGTTCTAGTTACTAATATGGATATGGGGGCAAGATGCCCTTAAGCTGTGCTTTTACTTCATTTTCTGAAAACTGATACCAACTCCAGGCAACTCTGCAGAGTTGCTTAAGACTTTAACAAAATAGGAAGCAACTTGCCCTTCTCAATTCTGATTACTGCAACATGACCAAACAAACAAACAAAAAATTCACCTGGTGCCTTTAGTAAGATTTGGATCCAGCAATTCTAAAAGCAAAAGGCTTTAAAAAGACATGCTGTCTGCCCTTTAAATTAGTTGTTTATCTATTGGTTGCTAACATCACATTTTCTTTCTTCAGTTACCAAGGTGAGAGAAATGACTTCTTTGTCAGGATGATGAACAGATTATCACTTATGCCCATCTACCAGTTGAAAATAGCTGTAAGATATTTGTAAGGCCTTGGATAAATGTGTTGGACTAAAACTTTGAACCTCAAATTAAAATCTAGCATTAGAAAAATAGGCATTTAACATTTTGTCATAAGGCAATATACGTTAAGATTATATGAATAAAGACTGGAATGGGCGACTATTCCCCACTTACTAAAATTTTGCTTACTTGAGTCTGTTGAAATTTGGACATCTTTTGCTGATCCCTGCGTTGAACCATCAACATCATCATCTTCATCTGTGGAAACAGAAACATTTAAAGAAAGAATTCCTGTTAATTTGAACCACAGGGGAGGAAAAAGGTGTTTGTCATTTAAGAGCAATTTCCACCAAACAAGCTAGCACGAAATGATCCAGACAGAAAAGCACACTTTCCTTTCTGCCTATAATAATACAATAAAAACAGCATTGAAAAACCCAAATCTGCATTGTCGTGTAACTACAGTGAAGGTATACCTGAGATCCTTCTATGATTAGCTTTAATATTGCAACTACTGCATTTCCTCCCTTTCTAAAGCTGCAGTGTTTATCTATGACTGAGGTACACATGGTTTCCAGTAAGTTTTCAATCACCAAATCAATCCAGGAATTGAAGTAGCAGCATTACAGTCAGAAATACAGGTGTAAGTAATTTCCACAACTGAAAAACAAATTTGCAGACACACAAAGAGGAAGAAATTGCTGCTCTTCAGAAGAGGACTTTGGCAGCAGCTCATCATTATCACTGAAAGCTGGGAGCTAACTTGTCAGCTAGTAATGCACCCTGTAAAACTCCACACAAAACACTAAGATCAAAATAAATTCTATGAACATTTACATTTGCTTCTGTGAAGGTAACATCCTGACTGCACTCTCATTCCTGACTCGTGGCCATACAAGAAGGCCAGTGCAAATCCAAAGATGATCAGTTTTTCTCCTCTAAGGGTAGCAATAGCATGCAACACAACATGGTGTGCTCATCATATAATGGTATTCATACTCACACCCACTGAAACTCCCAGTCACCCCCACACATCCTAGTCTTGACTGGGATGGAGGCAAAGCTCTCAAAAAATATAAGGCAGGCAACACCTTTATAAAACCTATGCCTTGCAGCTGACGAAGAAAGCAGGAAATCAAAGCACAAAAAAAGAATGAAAAAATAAAATCATATTAGTAAAGACAGATCTTCAGAGCAAAAGAGGTACTGGGGAAGTCAAAATCCTGAAGCAGGAAAACCTTCAAAGAAGCAGAATCACAGCATGTCAAGAAGGGTGCTAGGCCGGAGTCCTAAACTTAACACCAGGTAACTTATTGAACATTTGTGTATTGCTTTAAGTGACTGCAAGAAAGATCAACAATAATGTTTTTGGGCTGGGGCTTTTAAAATAGAAAAAGAAGTGTTGAAATACTTTCCCTGTTATAGCTGACAAAGAGATCAAGTTTCAAATTACAGAGAAATTTAGACAGTGTGGGCTTGAAATACCCTGAAATAAAAGGAAGCTGAATGCCTTCTTGAATTTCACTTCAGACAAAATCAGGTTAAAAAAAAAAGAGTATGTAAATACAACAATAAGAAATGACTGCTCCTGATTGCTCCCAACCTTCTTCTCAGTTTAGATGGGAAGGAGCTAACATCTTTTATTACTCTTTCTCCTTCAGTCAGGATAGTAGGGATATGTATGCTAACAGCATCTTGAAACTATTCCAGTGAAGTTCAATGAGTTATTTTAAAATTCATTATGATGGGAGCCAGTTGGAGGAAGGGGAGATAACTACTCCACCCAGTGCTTCCCCTGGTAGCTCCAGAGTTTTGAAAAGCCTCTTTCAGCACAGAAATGTTTGCTGAACGTCCGTCATGGAGTGTTACTGCAGTGACAAAAGCAATCTGGACAAATGCTCCCCAGCATGTCAAGGATGATGCATGTGCTCATTTACTGCATGGGACAAGGCAACTGACACTTCCCAAACACCATCTTGGGAAGAGCTATGCCTGTAGCAGTTAACTCATCCAGGCAACTGCTAACACTTCTTTGGTACCTCAGACTTGTCTTCCATAATGATCTGGGTGATGTCCTTTGTCAGCTGTGGCAACAGAAGAGCACCCTCTGAGCATGCCCCTTCCGAATAAGTGTGCTTCCACAATGGGTCCCATGGAAATGCTAATTATTCTCCAACAAAGGAGCACCTTGCTCCCCTGAAACATCCCTAACACACATGCAATCTTTAATGGGATCTGTGATCTGCCACCCAGAGCCTACACCTTCACTTGGAAAAGCAGCAGCAATTCCCAGGGCAGTGGTCCTGAGCTGTTTCGCGCTCAAAGGAGCATCAAACACATCCTAGCAGAGTGTTAGGGAGCTGCCAGACTCATGACACTTCTACCTAACTCAGAACGTGCCAGGAGCTAGTGGGTTTCTGGAGGAAAATGCAGGTTTGTTCTGTGAACATGAGTAACAAGAAGGACCATGAGGCCAGGGCACTGAGGACACTGAGTTCCCTTTCACAGATGATGTGAGAATTAATTTAAGACAATTCTCAGCTCCGCCTTTGAGGAAGAATCTGGGCAGAGGAAAAGGCCATACAGTGATTGTACTTGGTGCTATTGGTGGGGACCTACAGGCAACCCAATCTCCAGCAGATGACTGAGAATGGCAAAACTCCAGCAAGGCTCAGTAGGATGTGAATGGTGTAAAAGGAGTCACATGTGAAGACACCCTACGAGCACCTGTACATTCAGGACCTAGGTGCTAACCCAAGCATCACATACCATCATCAGGTAAGGAAAAGCAGAACAAAGCACTTCATGCATAGCAGACTGCAAGGCAGGGACCACACCATGAATATGAACTCTTCATGCCTTGCACTGAGTCACAGCTGTGGTCCACTGACCATGAAAAAAAAGGAAGATGTCAAGCCATCAAATTCATGGGTATGCCATGGGTCAGCAGCAGGAGGAAAGGGGAGCATCCACATGACTTGGCCCCTGCTCCCCTGGGTATCAGCAGCTGCTCCCTGCTGGGAAGCTGCTGCCCACCGGATGATGGGGAGCTGAGCCCAAGGGGCAGAAATTCTCAACAGGCCACAGAGAAGAGATCTGGTGTTAAAAAAGAGACTTTTCAGGGTGTTGCTATATTATATCTATGTTATATGTAGGGTGAGGATTATAAAAACACATTCTGGCTTTCCAAACATGGTGGGGTTTATTTGCTTTGGGTTTTTTTCTTCATATCATATTAAATGACCGGAAATGCCACAAATTAAATTAGTGAATACTTCCCTATCCCTAAGTGTCTGCTTCCGACCACCAGCTAATGGCTGCATTCTCTCAATTCAAAGTACAACACACTCATTTTGACTAAAGAAATATAAAAAATATTATTACTTTAAAAAACCTTGAATATAACATAATCTCATACACTTAGTGTGTCCTGAAATGGAAACCCTTCTCTTCCATCACTTAAAATACTGAAGAAAGGAACTAGCAGATGCTGCTATAACCTTGGGATCTTTCATTCAGAAAGTTCAAGAGCAACTTGGTAGGTTGAGAAAAGTGCAGTTGCAAGTATTTAATTTTCATGAACCATATTTTGCCAACCTTTTATGTCCCTTCCTGTTGTATTCAGGCACCAAAAGAATGGCTTTACAAAAGCAAAACAATCAAAATATAAATTGGAAAATAGTTCAGTAATTGGAAAATACTTAAAAAAAAAATTTCTGCTGTTCCTAAAGAGCTGTTAAACATTCACTCTAGATGGCAGCAGAACATTACCCTGGCTACACACATGATTTCATTTCAGCACAAAAATCTTAAAAGGACAGATGCCTAATGCAAGAGACACGTAAAAATATCTGTATGCATGACATGAGAAGTAAGCATTTGTAGCAACAATAACACACCACAAATTTTTAGATTTTAGTTTTTCACCTTTTGTGCACTTGATGTTTCAAGAACAGTCAACAAATTGCCCTGTACCAGTAAACAGAAGTTTCTACTTTTTGCACACCTAGTGGGCATTTCAAAACCTCTAACCTGTCCCCAGAAATAGCAAGAAGTTATAGTATTGCCACAAAAGCCAGTAAAAATTGGCAATAATATGCTTCAGTGAATTACAACACAAGGTTAAATATACTCATCAGTGAGTTGCACTGCACGTTGAAATTTTTACCTGATTCTGTTTGCAAATTCTCCGATATTCGAAAACAATGCAATTTGCTGAAGTTGCGAGAAAATAATTGCACACAACTTGGAGGAAGAATCATATTCCTTAATCTTCCAAAGGTACATTCTGGTGTGACAATTACGTAGCAAGCAGCATGAGCCTATAAATAACAGCATCAGTTAAGAACTTCAGTGATACACAAAGAAAACAAATCTGTTTATAACAAAACATGACTGGAATTGCATAACTCAGGTTAGGACGTATATAGATCTTCTGTTGATCACTCTCATGAAATGAATGGCTCATTTTTTCACCCTAGATTTTCATTTGTTCATTTCAGTTTTTACATAACCCACGGTGGGAAGTCTTAATATGTGAAGAACTTTCAAAGATCACAAACCTGGTCCATCACAAACTAAAGGTTTTTATACAGCAACATGGAGAAATTTAAAGTTTTGGTCTCAAACTCTGAATCTTCCATTCCATATAGATATTTACTGGGGCAAATAGGAAAGGTGCACAGGTTATACTGAATAGCTTGAAAATAGCAGTATTGTCTTACCCACTTGCAGATTTAGAGACAACATTGTTTCAAGTTTTATTCCAAAGTGTGACTGGCTGTTTTCTGCATTTGTATTGCTGCAAGATCTTCTGACATTATTGAATACACATATCTTTGTATGTATGGCCATATAGCATGCTACATTTGTTAGACTCTTCACAAAGACAGTCCCTCCCACCTTGGAAATTATGAATCAGATTAAAATTCAAACTCCACAATATTAAAAAAAGATATTCAAATCACGCCTGAAATACTGAATAACCTCAGAATTTTATTTTAAGTTATTATTACATAGAGTACCTCCTCTTACAGTAAGTGTCAAATTAATGATATATTACATATGCTCTTCAGTTCTCACCTCATTAGGTGTTACTTTGCACTTTCATCATATTTTAATAAGAGGTGGCATTAAGTGGATGGGCCAATTGTTATCTACACAGCACACAGTGTGTCAGTATGTGAAAACCTGTGGCTTTCATGAAGGTTATTGAAGGGTACCATCACCGTGCACAGGAAATAGACATGCGTGATATGAACGGAAAACCACAGAAAGTGATGTTGACAACTTAAAAAAATTCCAACCACACAGGCTAAGACCTATTCTGTACTGAAATATGAGTAAACATATTAGAAAGGTCTTTTCTTTGACCTTGCAGAATTCACGTGACTTGAAAGAAATTCTGATTTAACACAGAAAAAGTGACTTCAGGCTTCTAAGCACAAATCTATATTGATTAGTCCCTGCTAAATTTTAATTAAATTGCATTTACATAAAGCTTAACTGCAACTTTAAAGTTGCTCATTAAAATGACTGGGAGGCAGATTTTCCATCTAACACATAAATATATATATTTATATAAAATAGGTGTATATACAAAGTGCATATAAAATATATTTATACAGTCTACAAATAAATTATATCAGGTGTTTAAATAAGCACGTGCACCTATATATATGGTTCCCACAAATATATGCAGCAGCACAACATACCAGGATGCCACACCATTCACATCTCATGCCGGAGAGCACCTCAGAAGACCCGCAGGTTTTTTTGCAAACTTCACAACGAGCACTTGAAGAAAGGTTTCCCTCCCTCCAGTGGTGGTGGTAAGTATCCTGAGGGGACACATCATGACTTAGCATTACATCAAACAGACACAGCAGCATCTTCAGTCCAAGTTTGAAGTCATCAATTCAAACAGCTCTGAAGAAACAGTAACACAGACTAGGACATTAAGTTTTTCTCATGATAAATATGAATTTGAACAATCTTACATTTCACCAAAAGAAGAAGTTTGTTAACACTATTAGAAGCTTATCATAGTGTTTTTTCTTCCCAGTCCACTAGGAAAAAAAAAAACCTTTAAAAAAAAATCCTGAAATACCAGTACTTTGCATGTATGTTACTGTTAGAAGGTAAGAAACTAGGCAGTCTTGCCCCGGTCAGAATGCAGGACAAAATGATGTTTGCCAGGGATGCAATTCAGCCAACAGCTCAACACACAGAAAAAAAGAGTTCCACGCCACCTTCTGCAATGCCGATTTTAATAAAAGATGCTTTTTTTTTTTTTTTTATTTTATTTTAAATTGGGACGTTGTATACATTGCACAGACTTTGCAGCAAGGGTTCAAAAGCACCGTGAACGTATCAGCATTTAAGTTCATTTCCCTGCCTGTGAGACATTCTGAAACCACACATTTCCTTTTCCTGCCAATAAAAGTGGATTGATAACTGGCAGCATGTGAAGGACTACCCCTCCTCTAGTCCAGGCCTTCACACCAAAAATGCATGACCACTTTCCCCTGCAGAGGCATCTGCACTTACGTGGTCCAGGTGCCCATCCTGGTGACACTGCCGGCAGTCACTGCAAGCAAACAGGATACAGTCTGTGTGCACATGTAGCTCACAAACTGAAAGCATAAAAACAAGAAAGCTTCCTTAGGCTGGAAACCACAGGATTTTCTGCATCTCCCTCCTCCCTCCCTCCAATACCCCTCCACTTTTTCACACCACACTTTCTTTCCTTCATGCTCTTTACATTCAGCAAAGACAGACAATAAAGAAGTTTATCAGCATTGTCCTGTGTGTTGCTCCACTTCCTCTGTGTAAAAAGATGCAAAAGTATAAGGAAAGGCTGAGCTAATTTCGCACATAAGAAGCACTTGTCATATTTCCTCCAATACAGCAAGTTAAATTTGTACAACTGCTTGGCTTTGTCTTGCAGTTTCACAGGAACTGCTGCCTACTCCAGTATAATTGTGCCTCAAGATTACTTTGATGTAACCAAATACAAGAAAACACCACATGACAGAAGCATTAACAGAAAGTTTTCTTTCTGCATCCAAATATCATCAAGACCTGAGTATAAAACAGTGGTCTTCCTGAATCAATACTCCACTCCCTTTAGAAAGCCTTTTCCAAGCCCTGCTGCAGAGCAGGCAAGCACTTGGTTAAAGGGTTCAAAACAGCAGACGTTTTTCTGCTCTCCACCCCTGGAGCTGTTAGGAGCACAAGGGAACAAAAGGCAAGGTATGTTTTAGTACCAGCTCCAGCAAAGCAAGGGGCATGGCACCAAAAGAGCAGGAAGGCTGTAGCCACCTCTCCTGCTCACAGCCAGAAGCCCTGCCTCACTCATGGGCCACAGGAGACACGTCAGTGTTCAGATCGGCCATAGACCCACATGGCATGTCTGCATCAGCATGGACTTGTGTTTGTGAAGTGAGATGACATCAGAACATGCAGAATGACAATGTCAATCCCAGGGAGAATGCAACAGCCAGAAAGCATGTTTTACTCAGGAAATAAATCCTTTTTATTGAGAGATGATGCTCAATGGATTTAATTTTAGACATGACCCAAATAAACTGGTATATTAATCTCAGATAATTTTCTCAAGTATGTCTCTAATCACCATTTAATCACTGTTTCATTGCCACAGAAAGGAAATAATTTTTTCAGAGCACTCTCCTAAGTACGCTTAACACTGTCTTCCAAAATATGTGTTAAATACTACAGACACTGAAAGAAAATGGAGCTGCACACACAGAGTTCAATTTCAGGACTTGTCCACTGATCGTTCTTTGGTGTTCCCCCTTTATTCATATTCTCTCGCAAACAGCACCTGGTGTTTTCCTTTTAGTTAATCGGAATTCCCAGGATCGTCCTAAACCAGTGCCTGGATCCCACACATTCACCTCGCATCATGTGGTGGCTGAGTTCAGCCACGAGAGAAAAACACACACGCTATCATGCAGACCATTCAAAGGGGTTTTCAGCTTTGAGGAACATAACATTCTCTCTTTCAAAGCACTTAGCCAAGGTCGAGCCTCCCTTTTGATTCCGGTTAACTAAATGCAGGTGCAGAGTGACTCAGCTTGCTCCCACAGACACTGTAGGTGGAAGAAGTTTTAGTGCATCCTATAAAGGTTTAGGCAACTTTTGGTTTTGAAATAATTTAAATTGTTTAAAAGTTGACTGGAAATATCGGATATGAAATAAAAGAATCTGCAGCTATGCTGCAAAGGACAACTCACCAAAAAAATACTACTAAAAGATCTCAATACAAAGCTTCTTTACTGCAAGAGTTAGGAAGGTTCTTTATGGACCTCATAGACAGAGATGGATAAAAAAGATCCTCCTGTAGCGGATTTAAATACTTGTGTATACAAGTGTTCTGGGAAGGCATCTGATTTTTCATTAAGAAATGAAAGCAAGAGACAAGCATCAAATTCTTAAAATATTTTTTCTGTTTTAGTCAAACAGGTTATTTCTCCAAGTATATTAAAAAAATATGAAAACTGTAACCTGAAGATTGGAAGACAGCAACTGCATACATTAACCACATTATCTGAAAATATCTTGAAAACAGTATTAAATAAAATAGAGAATAACATGTTACTTTGAAATCGCTCTCTGGACTCCAGAAAAGGTGATCACAACAAATACTGCCTTTTTCTAAGAACACATAAGATCATAATTTACCACCACATCAAAGGAAAAACTCTTGACCAAGTCAACCACAAACTTTCACATACAGTTGCCCATATTGCATGCCTTTACTGCACTCAAGAACTTCTATATGAGCTGTGACAGTCCCTCCTTCATTCACATTTCTCCACCTATTCCTGTTAGTTATAATATGAATATTTTACCATTTTGCCAGTTCAACTACCAGGCAAGCTTTGAGTGATGTCCTTGGTAATGGTAGAAGTGTCTGTAGATCAAGTTACAGCTTCAAGGAATTAACAAAAGCATTGGGTTTTTATCATTAATTCTGCTAGCTCAGACACACTCTTCCCTTCGCTGTACTTTGCAGGAAGACACAGAGGTTTTTACCCTTGGTTTAATTCACATCTGTTGCTCTTAACACCAACCTGAACTCAGAATTAATAAGAAATGTGCTCATGTGAAGGGCATGAGTGTCTCAGGAGTTAATCCCTTCCCTAGCTATCCTGCTGTGGGAAAGATCCAGTTTTTGAATGTAAAGATAAAGTCAAATCAGAGGCCCTACAAAAAGAAAATTCATCTTTATCAGCCCTTCCGTAATTCTTTAACTCAGAATGATGATCTTCTATTCAAGCTAGCCAGGAAAGCGAATTTCTCTATGATTGCCAAAAACCCCAAGCTGATTAATTACAGATACATAAACTTGGAAGAGAACCTTTAAAATGTTAACTGCCTCCTTCTCCAGTAAATCTGCTGCTCCTGGTCAATGCTTAATAAGAAACTTTTGTAAAGTTTTCAACACTTAAAAAAAAATTCTCTTTCTTACTTTCCAGCCCTTCTCGGAAGGAAAAGGGAGAGCAACTCTTACCATCATGAGTCCATGTTCAGCTGACACCAGTAGAATTCTGGTAGTAAAAATAGCTATCCAAAGCAATTAGTAATTGTCAGCAGAACTTGGAGTCCAACTGTTGTAATTTTTGCCAATGAAGTGCATGTACTTATCTCACCAGGGATTAATATACATGAATGCTCATTTCTGAGAACAGATGCCCCCCTGCGCACCCTCAGCATTTAATACTTGCCTGAAAACTTTCAATTTCCTTTCACGAAAATTTTTCTTAATTATGGTAAAGTTCTTAATTTCAATATCAGATGAGAACATCATAACCAACAGTAGACTTGTAATATTAAGCTAAGTCATTAGAAGTAAGCAAAAAAACGCAAGAAAGTTCAACATCTCCATCTGGATTTAAAAGCTCTACAGCTCAAAATAGTTGACTTCCAAAGCAAATTCCAAAAGCATTTTTGAAGAGTAAAGGAAGAATCTTGTTCATTTTATGAATTTCAACTGCCCGTTTTAAGACACATTTTAGAAAAGCATAAGAGAAACAAGTTGTAGCCTTGTTGGTATCTGGAAAAAGGAATACAAAACAAGTCACACCACACAAAATAAGAAAAGTGTTTAATCCATTTGAGGAACACAATTCAGAACCTTCAGTGAACCATGAAAAAAAAAGTCTGGGCCTTTGTAATACCTAAATATAACATGCAATTTCATGTGTTTCTTGTTTAAGAACACTTAAATGGAAACATCTGGAAAAAAATTCCTTTGCAATGGTGTGCTGGTTTTGGTTGGTATAGAGTTAACTTTCTTGTGTCTAGTACGGGGCTGTGTTTTGGATTTGTGCTGAACACAGTGATGACAACTGAAATGTTTTTGTTATTGCTGAGCAGGGCTTGCAGAGCATCAAGGCCTTTTCTGCTCTTCACACTGCCACACTGGTGAGGGTGCCTGGGAGGTTCAGAGGAGGCACAGCTCACACAGATGACCCCAACTGACCAAAGGGATATTCCAGACCATATGACACCATGCTCAGCATATAAAGTGGGGTAAAGAAGGAGGAAGGTGGGGGGCATGTTTGGAGTGATGCCCTTTGCCTTCCTAAGTAACACGTGATGAAGCCCTGCTCTCCTGGAGATGGATAAACACCTGCCTGCCCATGGGAAGCAGTGAATTAATTCCTTGTTTTGCTTTGCTTGTGTGTGTGGCTTTTGCTTTGCTTACTAATCCGGCTTTATCTCATCCCATTTGCTTTCTAGCTGTTATGCTTCTGATTCCCTCCCTGATCCTGCTGGTGGAGGAGTGAGTGAGTGAGTGGTTGTGTGGGGCTTAGTTACAGCTGGGGCTAAACCATGACAAATGGATACAATGCCAATACAGCAGAATTAAGGGAGTGAGAACAAAAAAGAAAAATTTAGAAAGTTTGAATTAAAATTGATCACTAAACAGAAGCTATTTTCAACACTTAAGAGGATATAGCTAGAGAAATGTTTCAAATTTTCTATCTCATGCCACACAAGTTCTGAGTCTTATTAAGACAGATGCCCAGAAAATTCTCCGCATCTCTTCGACCATCCCACCTAACCATCCAACTCATTGTGGTAACCACATTAAGTGACGAATTCCCAGTAGTCAGGAGAAAATAGTTTGGCTTCATTATGCAACTCAGCAGACAAAAGCAGAAAAAGAAATACTGTACCATTATAAGTCTAAATACCTTGATCAAAGAGGAATGTTTCCCCTACAAATATACACAGAAAACCATATTAAATAAGACATTATCTTTAGCATAACAGCTGTTTTGAAACCACTTCAATCCCCTGCAGAATTGGTTTTTCACTCAGACTCTTCCTTTTTTTTTTTTTTACCAGTTCACAGGTAATATTACTTTAACATACTAAATTCTATTTAACCTCACAGCATCAACTGAAGAACAAATAATATACATTTAAGACAAGGGAGACAAGAAAGAACTAAAGAGCTATCCTACATCAAAAATCAGTCAACTACTCATGCCAATATGTATTTCAAATAAAAATTCTGGTGTTTGGGTGATTCCTTTAATTACTGTTTTTTCAGATAATCCATGTCAGAACATTCAGAGCAGTACTATTTTGACAAATAATATTTTCAAATATCTTTCCATTGAAGGTATCTTATTCTCATTACAAGTAACAGATATTTGACACTAGTAACACAGGAAATTCTACATTCTTTTCTAAAAACATGAATATCTGATGATTCCCTGTGTCAAAAGCTTCCACTGGAAATAGAAATAAAATACCTCAGCAGGACAAGTCTTTTGTCGTAATAGCTTCTCGCCCTTTGCACATCTCAGGCGTGGATTTGTTGCACACCACCACCCCCACAGACTTACTCACAGTAAGTTGGAGGAAAGGTGAAAAGAGCTTACAGGTTTGACAGAGTTCGTGCTCTGTTGAAGGGGATTGATTTATTACTCCTTAATCTGAAGTGCGCGTTTTCACGATCGACGAACGGATAATAAACAAACCAGAAACTTCTCAAACGCTGCGAGAGCATGTGTGTGCACACCCACACACCCTCGAGGTACGCAGCGTGAGGAAGGGGCGCGTCACTGCAGAACACACAGACGGATGTACAAGGAGGGTTTAAGTTACCTTCACATCGAAAGGCAGGTGACTCCAGTGACTTCCTGCACACAGTGCAAAACTTTCTTTTGTAATGTCCTGGAGGCCCAAAACAGTGTGCAACTGGAACCTGCCAAAGAAGAATGCATAAGACATCATCAACTTCAGCTTCCAAACTGTCAGTAAAAATTCACAGAAGCTGCTTTATCTTGCAACATAGGGCAGTACATACAATACAGACTTAAATAAGCTCAAGAATAAATGTACAGGCAAATCATCCTTTAACAGAATTCATACTTAAAATATATTTTAAATACTTTAACTGTTTCTTAAATCCTTGGGAATTAATATGCGTTGTATATATTTTTCAGTGCTGATCAGCTTTTTCATGATTCACAACAACATTAATCCAAAGGCTTGCTTCATGACTTAACCTGCAAACAAATTTCTTCTCCTAAGTACTCTTAATTGAATCAAGGACAATTGAAGTGTAACAGTTGCAACGGTGAAAAAAATACCCTAAAGGCACACTCGAGATAGTTCTTAAAATCTTAGTGTTGCCACAGTTCAGTACTCTCCACATGCCTTTCACCCCTTCCCCCAGTGCAGCCCAGCCAACTGGCTGGTCAGGACAAAGGCACTGATTGGTCTTCTCCTGCCCCATCCAAAGCTTCGAAGCCTGACTGGTACAGAGATCCAGCTCCTGAAGTACATCCACACTGAGGTTCCTGTTGACTCTAGGTTCAAGATGATACATTACAATACCCTCTTGCAAGAGCTGTATTTTGTTTTAGCAAAGGTATTGCACTTATCTTAAAATGTAGGGGGGATGTTTCTTGCTTAGCGATTAATAATGAAGATGACAGTACCAAAAGAACTACAGATGAAGAAAAGAAAAATGAAGAATAAGAAACATACTTGAGCTTTATAGTTGTTCTAGAAACCTCTTCCTACAAGATGCACAGCTTTGTTAACTGACATTCACAGTAGAAGGACAGAACCTAATGGTATGTTTAAAGTCCTAGAATCCAAATGAGTCCCACAGGAGTTTGCCATGATTTAGGTATTTATCATTATGCATCTCACATGCACTTCTTGCTACGACAAACACATCAGACTTATCTTCTGGTTCTTGGATCACAAAAAAAAAAAAAAAATCCAGTAAAAGCTGACAAATTATTATTTAGGCATGATACGAAATTAATCATTCACAGTAAAAAGTTGGAAATAATGACTAAAGATACATGTAGTCACAGATAGCTTCTTCTCTTCCCAGATGGACACTAAACAAGCCTCCAAAGTTATTCAGTAGGATTTGAATTTTTCTCCTCGTATATCAGGGTTTTCCTGAGAACCACTAGCAGCAAATCTGACACATGATTTGATGACCCCAGGAAGTCACTTCCAGTTATAAATGTCTAAAATTCCCATGTGTATTTCTGCCTCTGAAAGCGTGGGGTCAGTTACACTAAACAATCCTGTATTTCAAGCAGGCACAAAGAAAGAAGTGAGATTAAAGTTTTGCCAGATGCAATACAAGGGGGAAAGAACACTGCTGGAAGTTTGATCAAGAAAAATCAGTAAACCCCAAACTGCAAAGTGCGTGGTTCCTCCCGTCCTCCTCAGAATTATGCTTTGGGAGATAAAGGAGAATAAAGAGAGATACAAAATATGCCTGTATTATCCAACACAAACAAGATCATGCACAGCAGCTGACCACTGAAACAGTCACCAACTCACTGCCCCAGCAGACCGTGTTGTCTGGAGCAATTCTTGGTCCCTGACTGCTCAAGGAACTACCTGTGCAGATCTCAAGCTCCACACCAAAGTGGGCTGCCAGCTAGCCTACCAAAAGGATTTCCTATTAGTATCTGCAGTATGATATATTAAAAAACATCCTTGCCTCCGAAAGCTTCAATTCTTAACTTAATGTACAACTTTGGGATTTAAAAATACAGAAGAAAGCTTCTTGTGGGTCCATATCCTACTCCCGTCATCCTCTGCAGGCCTCCAGCTCTAACTGACAAAGTTCATAGCTGACTTGCATTATTTTTCTTTTTTTAAATCAGAATTCTCTAGTCATATAATGCATGTTTACAAAAAGACTTAAAAAAAAAATATCCTTAGTGGGGAAAAAAGTATTCTGGAGAGCCTGGGGAACTTCAATCAAGCTCAGATTAAATTCAAGCCTCATAATCCCTGTCCACTCTCCTCACACTTTCATGTTACTTCTTCAAGAGAGGAAATAAACAGACCTCTCTGTACAGTAACAAAGAAGTTATCTGACTCAGCTATTGTGGAGGCAGTGCCAGAACTGTATTCTTGCTCTAGCTGCTCCAAAAATTCAGGTTTGGTAGGAGAAGGCCACTTGCACAAAATTCACCCTACACAATGAAATGATGTGCAGATAATGATGATGAGAACAGCTTTGTGAGTACAACCCCAGCCAGATACCGCAATTGCAAGGAGTACTGAAAAGCCCTTTTGAGATTTTTTTTCTGGCAATCTTTTCTGCACATCCCAACCTGTCTTCAGGTTTCAAGTGTCACCTTTAAGTCATGTGCCCGCCCTACCCCTGCCACAGCCCCAGGCACAGTGGAGCCAGTTGTCCCCAAGGCAGAATTCCCCTTGAAATCAGACACAGAGGAGACCTCCTTTATTTCTGAAGTGGTGAACAAACTGCACTGGACACCCAGCATAAGCAACCAATCCCTTCAACAACCCATGTCTGAAACACAGGGGACTCTTCTTCCCTAGCCATGAGCCTGACAGAAGTCAAACTTTTTCAGGGTCTGACTGTACTTATCTAGAAAACTCAAGGAAAGAAGATCAAGTCTGAATTCTGCAGTTGTTCAGACCACAGTGACAATCCTCTGAAGTCTCAAGTCACTGCCAAAGAGAAGGGAAAAATTTGCTGATTGAAATGTTAAGGTAGGTGGGGGGAGAGAAAGGAAAAAAGGAAAAAAATTGGTTTTTTCAACTTCTTCCTTTATGAAACAAGTCAAAGAATCTTTGTTTATTACATGCGTTATTATTAACTTGCCTTAGAAGTGATAGTTTTTAAATCACTGTTTTTTCAGAGTCTGATGGAAAATGGGCTAGGAATATGATGGAAAAAGAGAAAAGGTAAAAGAGCAAGTACAACATAGTGAACACATCAAATACATAATGCTTCTTCCAACATTTTTTTGTTGCTGAACAAGTTCCAAGCACCCAATACATCAGGGAAAAAAAAAATCAAAACTCAGATTGGGAAAGCCAGTGAGCAGCATGTCAGAACACAAAATGTTACATATTATTCCTTAGTTTATATTCACCTGTATAAGTGCAGGAAAGTACAGAGACATAAGGTGGCCTACAGAGAAAAAGTTAATAATTTATGAGAGTTTAAAACCATTTCTGCAATATAACTACTTAAATTACCTTATGAAAACCACTGAAATCGATTTCCACAGAAAAATACAGAAAGTTTCTGCTAGTAATATCATTAAATGACATCTAAGTGCCCTTGCAATATTGATCAGAAGCACATCAACAGAAAGTATAATGGAACACTCTGCCATAATCTCCAGAATGACTTTGCACTCATGGACAAGATACTCCTAGTTCCTGTTCTGTTTCTTGCCCTCTTCTAAGAAATGCAAGGCATTAGAGAATGTAACACATTTCTGTAGAAGTTCTTATCAACCTGTAATAAAATGTGATCCTAAAGAAACTAAAACTTAGATTCTAACTCCTTCAGTGCAATCTGTGAAAATGCATGGCAGTTCTGCATGATACGAAAAGAACATCAGCAAGCTGCTCTTAACATCCAAACTTTGGAAGAAAAAGGAAGGATAGAATTGTTTTCTTTTGGTAGCGCCTTTTAAAATTGTTCCTTATCCTGAAATGCCACAGGGTATCAAACATACGGCCAACAGTTTATCATGAATTTATGTGCTCTTCCACTAAGGGAGAATCACTGTGTACAGAGCAGCCCAGCTACCATCCACATCCTTTGATTTGTCGATAGAGTCAGGTCAGGTCTTCTTACTGGTCTGCAGCCTTTTTTTCACCCAGGAGCAGCTTCTTTTCTACCAGCTCAAGCAGAAGGAAGTTTAAGTTTAAATTCTGAGGCAATAACTTCCAGGCTCAAAGAGGAATGAGAGAAATATAGATATATCAAATGCCAAAGTGACAGCTGCTGTCTTGGGCAGTCTAAAAAAAGAACCACCTACTAAAAGCTTTTTCTAGGACTACATCTAGATATTATTTTGCCCATGTATCTTCTTCGCCATCACATCAGGGTGGCTCGCACTTGGCGTGACTTTGTAACACACACCAGAGAGACTGAGAAAGCAGGTCAGCAGGACCTGAAACAGTGTGGAGTTGAACTGCTTCCAAACAGGAAAGGTACACAGAAAGAAGGATACAAACAGTCTCAACAACGGCCTCCAGAGACTGACTAATTTAACTCAAGGTCACTAGTTTTCAGTTCAAAAATGCTGCTGCATTTTAAGGATAAGCACAAGGAGCCTGGAAGAAACCATCTTCATTAAATGCCCAGAAGGGTAGTTGCATGGGGTCATTCACCAAGACTGCTTCAACACATGACCAAAAAAAATTTGCTGATAACAATTAAAATGGTATTCCTGAAACAAAAACATGTAGGGATTCTGACGCTTCAGTGCAAAAGTACTTCCCTATCTAAAGTTTCTAATGTTCACTCCTACACCATAAACCTTTGCTCTAGGGAGGCAGATAGGGTGATCACACCTGACTACATCCCATGACTCTTCTGTCCTGCTTAATATTCTAGACTATACCCTCTCTGAGAGAAGCTATCATCTTTGTGATTCAACTTTTCACAGTATTGGCGTATTTTCAATTACTTTCTTGTTACTCACAAAGTAATCACAAAAAGCCCTTTTATTTCTTTGAAACCTCTCTGATTTAGAAGCAAAATATTTCTGCAACTTGAACACACTGTTTGCTCTTGACTGCCCTCTCTATTTCTTTCTCCTTTTAGGGACAATGCCTATCAGTTGTGTTCAAACTGACATTCTTCCTCTGAGCACTCGATGTATCAGTTGGTGTTTAAAGGCAACTTAAGTAGACATTCTGTATGGCAGTTCTGAAATGACGTAAGAATAAAAAGTTAAAGGGTGTCCCAACAAACCATAGAACAGGAGAGACAAGAAAATCAATTACTTAGCTATCAAAATATTAATTGGGGCTAACGCAAGGGAATAAGGCACACCTCACCTCAATAATAACCTCACCGTATCCAGGATCTCCATCCTACAGATCCCTGTGACAGGACATTTGGCCTTATCTTCTCTAAGATCTCAAGGACCCTTTGGATGGGAACTATATAATGAATTCCATACCATATCAAACCAGGAATATATGATACTTCTACTCAAAAGTAAGACTTGCGTAAAAACTTTCCACTGCAACTAAGAGTTGCTTGGACTAGTATATTTTGTACTGGAAATAAAAAATGATATGCAAAAGTCAGTCACTTCTTGTTTTGACTGCTACAGAGGAAATCCATGTCCATCTCCTTTTATCAAGATAAAGAGTTAAAAGAAACAAACACAGTGATATCCCACAGTGCTTCTGAAACTGAAGAGTCACTGATAGGGTTACAGAGCTTGTCTGGGAGTTTACAAGCTCCCAGGCAGCTTGCATCAAGTTTCAATAGAGCACAGTAAGCTCTCCTGAGTTTATGAACTTAGGAGGTGCTAGCCCTTCCTTCCCATCAACCCCGAGGGAAGGGTTAAAGGGTTTAACACCCTTTAAGTCTGAGGTTCCACTTCAGGGAAGAAAAGGAGGAAACATTGGTGCAGTGCCAAGATTACCAGGGAGCAGTTTTAAACTTCACTTGGAATCAAAATTATACCTTGTAGCTGTTTGACTCCAAGCTACTGCCTTGCTGAAACAACATAAGAAGGGGTCAGGTGCTAGAGAACTAGAGACAGACCTTCTGGCCAGAAGGTGGTCAGTGATATCCAGCAAGCACCCAGGTAAATCACAGAACTGTAAAATGGTTTGGATTGGAAGAGGCCTTTAAAGATCATTGAGTCCAAACACCGCTGCAGTGAGGAGGGACATCTTAACTAGATCCAGTTGTCCAGAGCCCCATCCAAACTGGCCCTGAACACTTCCAGGGATGGACCAGCTACCACCTCTCTCTAGGCAACCTGTGCCACCGTTTCACCACACTTACAGTAAGAAATTTCTTCCTTAAATCTAATCTGAATCTATCCCCTCTTAGTTTAAAACCATTACCCCACCTCGTCCAACCACTACAGGCCCTGCTAGAAAGATCTTCTACTCTCAATTCATTAGGAACTGACCCAAATAACCACCCTGCCCACAGCTGCATCCCACAACCAGAGGGAGAGACTCAGTTCAGCAGACAAGGAAAAGAGTAGACTGCCCCGCAAGCACCACAACCTTCCCATTCACTACTGCAGCCCACAAATGCAGCAGTGTTCCTTACAAAGGAAAGTCTTATTTTTAGCATAAAAAGCTTCAGGAGAAGACGATGGCCCAGATTAGCACTTTTGCATAATAGATAACCTGGCTTTAAGAATAAAAGCACACAAGGAAATCTTGTGAGCAGTCCATAAACTCTTCTTAAAATGGAAGTGCTTAGGAATCATTGATAATGATACCAGCAATGCACCAACACATCAGTAAGGATAAAAAAGCATAGCAAATACTTCACTAAAATACCATTTTTCATATGACCTCACGTCAATTTAGTTTTCAAAGAGCTTTTACATAGAAAACACACACACAGTTCTATGGCAAATCTAAGAGGTAAAAAACTTGCAATACAGCTTCAATTCCAACCTAATGAGGGAAACCAAAACTTTACATTTCACACCCAAAGAGGTCTTATTTTTACTATTATTTTGTTTTGTTTGGGCATTCGGAGGTGGATTTTTTTTTGCCCCATTCCCCCCTTTTTTATTTAAACATGTACCACAGAGTAGGCAAATACTTATGGGAACGTAGGAAAGAGAGGGCTTGAATTTGCAAAAGTTGCCGAGACCTTATCAGTGAAACAAATCACATCCACTGCAAACTTGTTCAGAAAACTGATCTGTAAAGGCTTGTTTTGAAACATCATGACCTGGATCCAGGAATACCAAATGCAGGTGATAGTGATTTACAATAGTGCAAGAAGTTCTTAGGGCAGCCTTAAGAATGAATTCCTCAAGAAAGAATTCCTCAAGAGGCTAGATGCAGCATGCTTATGACTCTGTGGGCCTTCACTTGACCCTGGGAAGGAAACTCTACTGTCAGGAATAAAAGTTTCCACAAAACATCTGCTGAAAAATTATTTGCTGCTGGGTTGACTTACTATCAAATGACACACTCAGATGAGCTTTAATAATTGCCATCTTCTCTAGATGAAATCCAGGCAATTAAAAACAAACCACAAATCCCATTTCTATAGTACACTGAATATTAACATAGCTGAAGGAACTATTAAAAAAAAAAAAAAATCCTACCAGTGTTCCCTCCTACGTCAGACCTTTTAATAAGTAAATAATAAAAATCTGAAAAGAGAGATTAAGCAAATAAATTTTCCACAAATTGTATAAATGAATGTCATTTGGTTTTTGCTCTGTTATATTTTTTAAGCAAATGCCAAGTTCAGTATTTGCTTTGACAGAGCTTGCATGCAAAATGATATCTCCCATATGGCAGACTTCACTTGTACAGCAGACCAGGATTAATGCAACTTGGATGACCACGTCAAGGAGGACAAGACTGTTCAGAACGAAAAGTACAATCCAGAATTTTCAAAACATAATCATTATAGCTCAAGACAGATAACACAAAAGGCTCTTTGCAGCCTAATACAGCAACACTGAGCTGCAAACAGTTTCAAGGACTGACAACGCCACCCAGATAACTATCCTTGCTGAGCAGTAAAATTTAGGTTTAGCATTTAGACACAGAACCATACGATAAATTTTACGTTTTAAGGCAGGCAGGTTATGGGGACTGACAAAAGAGCAAAAAAAAGTTACACTGACATCTACAACTGATGCAAATGGAAACATTAGTAAGTTTAAATGTAGGATTTTTACCATATAAAAGCAAAGGAACAAACACTGTTTTGAACAGCGAATTAAATTTAGAGCAAATCCACAAAAGAAGCAGTCAGTAATTATTATAACTCTGACCCTCTGAATTAAATTACTGTTTTCCAGCTGGATTTTTGCCATTCCCCCCAAAGGCCCTTACAAAGACACCTATATCATCTGATTCATTACTCCTTTTCCCATGCTACAACGACTCATTGCCAGCATGCTGAAACAGCAGTAGATGCTAACTCTTAGTAAAAGCATTTCTCACTACCTACGTTTCCCTTTACCAGGGAAGATCTAAGATTTAGGGCAGTATTTCTTACTATTTGACTGGTAACTTTCTATGTCAACCTTTTTGACACCTAAATTATACCTCTCAAGTTGAAAATTATGTAAGTAAGAAGCAGCATGTTGGCAAAAGCCTAGCAGCGTTACCATCTAGACAAAGCATATTTCAGAAAAACAGATGGGTAAATCTCTCTATTCAATTCCTATAACCCAAGCTACATATTGCTTAAACTTTCACATCTTGGCTCCTGCACAGGCTTCCACAATATAAAGGAACTTGGAAAATGTTTTAGGACACAAAGAAAGGAATCAGCTCCCCTTCACAGGTCTACACAATGGATTCCCGTAAATGTGCTTTTGGTCAGCAAGGTCTGTAATGCACATGACTGATTTTACAGCCACGTCTCATCTGACTTTTGCATATGGCTTCTTAGGGTGTTTGTAGTGTTTTTCTACTTCTCTAGTAAGTTTCTCATGACCTTCTTCCCTTTTGTTCCTCTTCTGTCATCCTTTCCCAAATGAATAATATACTTTGTTTTCTCTTCCATTTAGCTTCTTAATACCTTAGTTGCATCCTATTATCTTCTGTAAAGTTGATTCATCTTTTACACCCTTTAGAAGCAACCTCTTAAGCATGAAGTCTTGACGCATGCCATGTGAGGACAAGTACTTTATTAATCACCAAAGTAAATTTTGAACTACTACCATCAGCTGAAGTCCTGTGCTCTCTTTTTTGGCTTTGAAATCCTATACTTTTAATGCAATGACTTTATCTAGGATGCAGCAATCAGTAGAAGACAAACATAGCCTTTTTTTGACAGAGCGTAATTCTCTGCTTCAGCATCTTCCCTTTTTAATTCTGTAAAGAAAAACTGGTGATTTACATAGTTTGTTTTTATGACACATGGTATGGTTTTCGGAGAGCACTGATATCAATCAGTCTCTCCAGTTCATTATTGTGAGACTTCCAGGTAAGGACACACAGTAAGAACATCTAGTAATATTTAAAGAAAGCAAATAACTGCTCTTCAAAGACAGACTATCTACAGCTGCCCAGAGCAGGGACTTTTCAAAGGAAGTGTAGCTTTGCCTTCGAGCAGCTATAAAAGCCTCAGTGATTACTAACACAATTTATGCATTACAATATTAAAATCCCACTGCTATGCTACATCATGTTAATTTGTGATAAATTTGGGCTATTATCCAAAGAAAGAGACAAGCCAGTGTGAGCTTACTCACCCTTACAAGGCTGGGAGCAATACATGAGCATGGTATCTTGACGTTCTTGAGGCACTTTTCATGAGACATGAAGTTGCAAACTGTGGAAAAAAAGTAAGAACCATGAGCAAATCTTCACAAGCAAAGGACTTAGTGAAACACAAACAAACAAAACCCCATATGGAGCAAAAAACAATTAGGAACACATTTTTTTAATCGCATTTGCTGTACCCTGGGTTTGAGAACGTACATGACTGTTGCACTTTGTGCAGTGCGTGAACTCCAACATGTGTCGTTACTAAGACATTGGCAATGGAAAAGGAAAGGGGAGTTTATCCCAGTGCATTACAGGCAAGTTATGTCCTCCCACTCTCTCTCTCTCCATAAGTATCAAAACGAGCTCTTAAATTTCAAAAGAGGTTTTAAACAGTCCAAAATAGCTCTTTGATGTAGCCCAAGCAGATGGACATGCTTGCAAGTGAATTATTCTACAAGCTAGTGCATGTGACATAAATAAACGGGAGAAAACAAAGTATTGTTACACACTGAGCATAATGGATGAAGGAGACAAAATTAAAGGTCACCAGTTGCATGCAGCTTTGAAAGTCAAGAGCAACTAACTATTTCTCTTACCACAGGTTTCTAATTCCATCCGAGCACCAGAAAGCATGCTTTCACCAGAACAGTGTTTGAAAAAAAAAAATCAGTTCTCTTGGGGTGGATATTTTCCACAGCTTCTCACCATGGATTTGCATTACATTAAGCTGTGTAAAAGAATCAAGGGATCCTTTATTTCATTCCCACCACCTCAGATTAATTAGGAACTAATAAGCCATGAAGCTATGGATTTAGAGTCATCCTTATTTCAGAATTACTCTCTACCAGTTCAAGCATGAAGCCTTATGCAGACGCTAAGGCCCCGACCTCTTGTGTGGAAGTGCAGACCTCTCCACAGTGCCTGGGCAAAGGATCGCACACCAGGGGCAACTGCTGCTGTACACAGGGGTTTTCCACACGTCCCTGCTTTTCAGGAGCACACCACACCTCTTCCTAAGTTCCAGAAGCATCTGAAAACACCCCCAAGTGCTTCAAACTTCCCATCTGCAGCCCATTGCTGCCACTGATTGTATTCTCTAATGCCATCAAAAGCAGTAAAATTCCTCTCTTCCCCTTTCTCCTGCTTGTTGACTTCTGATTGCACAACACTGCATTGCACCTTCTTCCACGCCAACTGAAGCATTAAAATCCAGGTCCACTTCTCTAAGCACTGCCAACCCATGCAAAGTAATTTTTCCTTTTTGTAGCACAAAAAGAAGGATGACTCCTTTCCCACTGGCACTCATTTTAATGTCAGCAGTAGGCAGAGTTTGTTTTTCATTACTCTGCAAGTCAGAAAAAGAAGCACTGCAAGTCACTGCTGTGTACAAACATGTTATTTGTCATCTATGGCTGAACCCAGAGTGATTACTGCACTGATGAAATAAAGTAGGAAGGAGCAGAACCAAATCTTCTGCTAGGTGACATGAAATGTTATGCATGTCTTTAAGACAGATGGCATTTCTGAATGGGAATGTCCCCTAAATGGGGTAGATGAGGAGAGGAAACAATCAAGAAAGGATGATAAAGCAGATTCTCAGAGCTGAAAATGTAAATGTTCAACATATTTGGAGGCGGTCTCTGTGGTGGAAGGGGCACACATCCCCTCAGCACAGAGACCAAAGAGAACAAAGTCATTGTCCAGGAAGAAGAAAGATGAATCTCATGCTCCAGAAAACAGGTATAACTCCACACACAGAACTGGTGAATTCTCATCATTTATGTATGTTATCTCAACGTGGATGTAGTGTTAATATGTAGTTAACATAACTTAATGTTAACACAACTCTCACCTAAGGTCTCAGCAATATTTCTACTGATGCTTTTAGGAGGGTCACCTGCTTGCTGTGAGAGCAGGTCTGCAGAAGCTACAGGAGAAAAGCCCATTATCGGCTAGTCTGAAATTTACCATACACATCGTCACCAGTGGAAGACATCTGACTTCTGTAGGTGGCCTCTTCACTATCTCATAGTGGTGCCCAAAGCTCAGCTGAAACCTGGCTAGGTGAGGGGAACTGACCTCTGCAGGCTGAAGCATTGTGACAAAGGTTCTGATGGCTTCAAACCATGAAAGGCAGAGTATGACGCTTCAAGTATAAACTGGCAGATGTCAAGAAGTTCATAAAGAGATGAGATGCAGTCAAAGAGGAAGCAGCAGTGGGTAATGAAATTCAGTGAAATGACACCATTTTCCCTCTTTCCTTTTTTTTTTTTTTTTAATTCAGAAGCAGGCTGGCTAGAAGGGAAGGAACAGAGCAAGGTGCTGCAGATTTATCACAGAAATGTTGTGATCTGTAAGGAGCAGCAGGCAACTGAAGTCTGCAAGGTCACTGTCATCAATTGGCTACCAGATTTAAGTGCACACAAACTCAATGTACAAGAAAACTGGGCCCTATAAAAACACCTCAGATAATTCAGCGGATAACCAGTCAATAGATGCTCCTTCCACAGACCTCGAGAGATGTTCTCTACTTATTATCACTATTATTTATTATCACTATTATCACTTATTATCTACTTATTATCACTACACAACACCTCTCAATTTTCTCTTTGCAGTGACAAACACAGCAAAACATAAAGACAGTAATACACAGTTCAGCTCAGAAAGCATCTCATAGCACAGAAAAAATACACTAAACCAGCAGCTTCAGAGAAGTAGTAAACCCAAAAAGTGAATGAATGTTTCAGACAAGGAGCAAAACAGGAAGGTGCGTGAAGGTTCTCTCTGCTCAAGTACATATAGGAAAAAAAAACACACAAAAGAATTAATTCCCTAAGATTTCAACTGAAAAACTGAAGCATTTGCAAATAATCCAATCAAGGAATAGCAGAAGACAAACAGTGGGAGATAAGGAGTGCCCAAACAGAGACAGTAACATTCTCCACAAAAGATTTTCATACATTTTTTCAGGAGGTACTCTCACACACCCTCCTCTGCTTGTCACATTCCTCACAAGGTGAAATTACTCCTACAAGTCACCATTTTGTTTTTATTTTCCACATTCCACAAAGAAAGAAATAAACACAAAATGGCAGCAAGCCACTGAAGCATTAACAATACTGGGGGGGAGCAGGGGAATCCGGAATTCATATCAATAGTCCCAGAGAGGCAACACAATTAGGCCTGAAATTCCGAGAGCCAGGAGGGGGTTTGTGTTTTCTAAAGTGTGACCTTTCATTAGGAAAAACAAGCCAGAAGACACTGTGTGTGAAGTTTCAGGAGATTAAATGCAAAATTTTGAGGAAAAACCATTTAAAACAGGAGGGTAAGCTGTTCTCTTCAGGGGAAGAGGATTTCTTGATACTGCAAACTTAGTGATGAGCTACAAACAGACACATCTAAGAATTGTCTAAGTCAAAACAAAGCAATTTCAATTACATCTTTCAGACACTCTAAACAAAACCGATGGTCTCAGTCAAGCTTGAAAGCCTGCAGCGCTCCGTGCATTCTTTAACTAAGCATTTTAAGCACTGTCAAAAGTACCTAACAGCATGGATGAAGGAAGAGACAAGCACATAAAATGTATTTGATGAAAGCTGCCTTCAACCTTCATATTGGACTTTGAATACAAGGCACCTATATCCAGGTTTAAGCTGCATGAAGTTATTCAACACTGACGGAAGATGGACAGCCACAATTTCAGGAGACATTGTCAGAATCTACAAAATCATTTACTTAAATCTTTAGGGGACTTTACATGGTCTCTCCAAGCACATAACTATATGCTCAGGCCTACGGCAACCATATTTGACAAGTTTCCCTCGTTCCCTTCCTCCATTCAATAATAAATTACTTCCTTCTTGTGAAAGTTTAGTTGTTCCCAATGCACAGCAAGAAGCCATGTGGCCGTCAGGCATCACAGGGCTGCTCCCTGTCCACATCGAGCACAAGAAGTGGCTTTACAGCAGTCTCTGCCCATAAGCCACTGCTTTCCCTACCACATTTTGTTTCCCCTGGTGTTTTAATAAAGATAAATGCAATGTGTACATATGGCAACACTCAGTGAACATGAAGCCAGTGGCTCTCCAACACACACTTGAAAGGAAACAGAAAACATCTCTCTCCAGACATCCTTAGGAAGGCAGGAGATAAAAGCTGGGAATCACTGTAGTTCCTGAGTTGTGCAACACTTCCTAGAAAAGTGAGGGCTATTTACACCCTCCAATGTGTCACACTTTTTCCACAGGAGTGTTTTGCTCTCTGTCCTTAAGACAGACTTCAAAGCAGAACTCAAAAGCAGGAAGAAGAAAAAGGTGGATGATGTCCTGGGCAGACTCCAGTAATGTATCAGTGTCCCATGAAAATGATGTCTGGGAGAGAATTGCTTATGAAATAATACCAAATTTAACACATAATCTTCTTTCCGTTTTGAAAAGGTCACCCAGCCCTGAGGAAAAGCCTACAAGGTGTTAAGACCTACTTTTGTTTCCTCTTTGGGGCGATACTCACCATATCTCAATTTTGCTGTTTTTCAAACATAAATTTATTTGTAAATTTGCATTTTAACATGTTGGCCTTCATTTAATTTTTATTTTATCTTTAAAAATTGTATTTTTAAATATTTCTTTACATTTGCCGAAGAATTCTAAAAGCAGAGCTACCAAATTGCTCTCCAAGGAGGATAAAGGAATATCAACACAAAACCAAAGTGGATTTGATCTCTCCTGGAAGTGTGACACAAGACTTACTGTGGATCTATTCACCATGAGAATTTTGAGCTTAACAAAAGCATCCACAAGGTAAATTGCAATTCACCTTCCAGCACTGGAGGAGGTTGTCTGGATCTGTTGTCCTGCCTGTCACCTCCTGGCCCTCTGTTGGAGGTATCTGCCTCTCAATTAACTTCCAGCAGGAGCCACAATCATCAGTAACACTCCTTCTTGCAACAATTCCCTTCAGATGAACTCACTGCAGGTTGCCACCGCTTATCAGTTTTGCAGACTGTGGTCTACTACTCACACAAGAGCCATCAGCACTGTCATGGCCACAGGTCATATCGAG